ATTCCTGATAATCAACTTGTTCAAAATAAAGCAACCGAACGTTGGTTACAAATCATAATGCACGCTCATAAACGTCATTTTAATAATGTAAAAGATTCTATATCAGTTTTACGTGTCAAAGAAGATGTCGTTAATTATGCACGATTTAAATGGCCACTATTATTCTCACGTTTCTATGAAGCATATAAATTTTCAGGACCAACATTACCTAAAAATGAAGTTATTATTGCTGTTAATTGGACAGGTGTTTATGTTATTGATGATCAAGAACAAGTTTTACTTGAATTATCATTTCCTGAAATAACACAAGTACTGAGTAGTAAATCATCTGGACGGCAGCAAAGTAATAGTTTTACAATAATAACAATTAAAAATGATGAATACACATTTACATCGAATAATGCCGATGATATACGTGATTTAGTTATTAATTTCTTAGATGGTCTTAAACGAAAATCAAAATATGTTGTTGTCATACAAGATTTTGATCCGTCAGGCGGACAAGGCATAGCATTACGTCGTGGTGATTTAATTATATTAGAAGAAGATTCACGTAAAAACCAAACGGGTACATTTTCTGGTTCTAATGAACGCACAGGCTCAACCGGTGAATTTCCGAGTGAATGCGTTTATATATTGCCAACGTTATCGAAACCACCACAGGATATTTTACAAATATTCGCATTACAATGGACGGATACGAATCAACAACAGGCACAAAATGAACATTTATTTTCATCGAATGGAAATAATAATGGCGAGTTTCTACCTGAACAAGGCTATACGTTAGAAAAATATGCTGAAACTAACTATCGGTTACCGCCGAAACGTACATGGTCGAATACGTTTTCGCGACGTTCAGGTATGAATAATAGTGGAGATCGTTTATGGGCCTTTCAAAAAGAACCATTGAGACAACCTTTATTGAAAAAATTACAAGAAAAAATAGAATTAAGTGAAGAAGCATGTTCTTGCTTTATGAATATACTTAAATATATGGGAGATTATCAAACTGGTCTTCGGCGACGAGCAACCAATGAGCTAACAGATGCAATTTTCGATCCAGCACTTAAACATGTAAGATTTTTCATAGAAATTTTTATATAATTCCAATTTCGCTTTACAGGAAATTCTTAAAGATGAAATTTATTGTCAAATTGTTAAACAATTGACTGACAATGGTAATCAAGCAAGTGAATCTCGTGGTTGGGAATTAATGTGGTTAGCAAGTGGATGTTTTGCGCCGAGTGCAGTCTTACTCAAAGAAGTTAATCTATTTCTACGCTCACGTAAACATCAATTAGCTGCTGACTGTTTTGCACGTTTACAACGAATCTTAAAGTAAAATCAATTGTCATCGCTATATTTGTAATTTCATTATTGAATTTCATTTAGAAATGGTCAACGAAAACATCCACCACATCAAGTTGAAGTTGAAGCAATTCAACATATGACAACACAAATCTATCATAAAGTTTATTTTCCTGATGATACATCCGAAGCATTTGAAGTTGATTCATCAACACGTGCAAAAGATTTCTGTCGAAATATTGCCGATAGACTTAAATTACAATCGAGTGAAGGATTTAGTTTATTCGTTAAAATTCTTGATAAAGTTATTAGTGTACCCGAAGGAGACTTTTTCTTTGATTTTGTTCGACATTTAACTGTAAGTTAATTTTGGAGATTTTTATTCCTAAGCAATTCGATGTTTTTGTTCTATAGGAATGGATTAAAAAAACAAAACAACGTGAAGATCCGCCAAAATATACTTATCAAATATTTTTCATGAGAAAATTATGGACGAATGCTGTACCAGGAAAAGATAGAATGGCAGATATTATATTTCATTATCATCAAGTATATAATAATAATAATAATATCAAGAAAAAATGAATTAGTTAGCGAATCGTTTTTGTTTTAGGAGCTTCCGAAATTAATTCGAGGTTATCATAAATGTTCAACTGATGAAGCTGTTCAATTAGCCGCTTGTATATATCGTGTTCGATTCGGTGATAATACAGCCCAATTTGAAAATATTCAGTATGATTTATTCTTCATCGTTTTTCATATGAAGAAATTTGAATCTTTTAGATTAAAAGATTTTCTTCCATCGGATCTTGTTGATAAACTTCCATATGCTGATTGGAAAAAGGTTTTTCTTTATTTTGGTTTTATTAACCTGATTGTTTTACATTGTTATTCTTTTAGCGTATTATGACTACTCATACACAATCTCGTAATGTATCATCCGAAGATGCTAAAATAAAATTTCTTAAAATTGTTTATCAATGGGCAACGTTTGGCTCAGCATTTTTTGAAGTTAAAGTAAAAAATGAAAAATTGTATTTCATATAATACTCAGTTGAATCTTGTTATTTATAGCAAACATCTGATCCAACATTTCCTGAACAGTTATTAATTGCAATAAATAAAAATGGTGTGAATTTAATTCATCCAAAAACAAAAGATTTACTCATCACATATCCATTTACAAGCATTTCAAATTGGTCAAGTGGAAATACTTATTTTAATATGGTAAACATATTTATCAATAAAAAAAAAAAAAGAAAAAATGTATATTTTTTAGACTGTTGGTGATATTGTTCGTGGTACTCGTTTACTATGTGAATCACCATTAGTAAGTTTCTTCTATACGATTACGAGAGAAGAAAACCCGAACTAAATATTTGATATTTTAGGGTTATAAAATGGATGATCTTCTTACATCTTATATTAGTTTAATGGTACAAACAATGCATCGTCAATCGACAACTGCATCAACGCCTCGACCTTAAAAAGTGTTCAGTTTTTCGCTAACTTCTATTTTATTTATTTTTCCTTTGTTCTTTGTTTTACTCTTGTTGTGCATCTAATTTTGACGTCTCTTCTTTGCAATTTTGATGATCATAACTTATATATATATACACTCTATATACATTCTCGATGACGATGATTCTGTTTTCCTTGTTTTCCTTTTCTGTTTGCAGTACACACTTGTACTTATGTGTGTTATATGTAAGTGAGAAAAAAAAACGAAAATAAATATTAATAGATGATCTTTTGTTTTTCATCATGAAGCACTCTTTTTGATGACCATTGTACTGGCAAACTGATCAAACGCATAGAAATCCTTTTGAAATTTTGAAATTAATTTTTCATATGTAGTAAACTCGTAAAAAAAAAGAAAAGATTTAAATTTATGTGTATGACGAAATGAATCGGGCTTTGAAACAAACGTTTTTCTCAAATCAATGGTTTCTGTACGAAAGTCAGAAGCTTATTTTTTAAAGAGTCGGACTCAAAGGCAGACATAATATAAATGTAGTGTTCAATCTGCAAATTGCATATCATAGGTTAGTTGTTTTGCAGTTGTATCAAATATAACTTAGAAAAGTGAATGAATAGTCGTCTTTCAATGTATACATCGTATTATAATTAACTCGCATAGGCTGCCGCGAATATTCAATTTATCAATAATTGTTTTTTTTTATACAACGCTTTATTTATTGTAATGAATTCGCCATGAGGCACTGGCCGTCTTATCTTATATCGTGCAATCTGTCCCAACGGACTTTTTACACGAAGATTAACAGTTCAAATGACTATTAGAAATCATGAGAAAAAGACAATAAGACAATAGTGAGTGATTACCTTAGCTAAAAACACAGTGACATAGATGATCGAAAAAGTTGTAACAGTCTTTATCGAGGAACGAGAACAAACGTTTGTTTGGTCTGCCTTTTGGCATTCTCCGTAGGTACGATTTAATACGATAATGTTTATAAAGAATATCAAGTAGATGTTTATTTTGTAATACTGAGTCGATGAATATTGGTTCATGCCTTTTATACATTTCATACGTTTCGATAAACATTTCTTGAATCTTTGTTCAATTGTAGCTAGTTTGAAGTGGTTGGGCAGATCATCTGTTGGACATTGAAACAGGCAATTGATTAATCTCAGGCACCTTCGATAGAAAGCTGCTACTCGATCGCGAGATGTAATTGAGAATAGACAGTAGATTGATGATAGTATGTAAAGGTGAGGCCAGATATACGTGTTGAAAAATTTAACTTTTAATTCGAGAGACGATGGAAATTGGCTGTGTATGAATTTCAATATCGCGTATGCTCTTCGTAATTTAATGAATTGAGCGTCGATCATACTGCGGAATGATAACTTCGCGTCAAGGTTGAAACCAAGATATTTGAGCGAATTCTTTTGTAACATTTTTACACCAGCGTAGTAAATATCTAATTTTGGACTTTGCACTACCTTATGATAGTTAACAAGTTCAGTTTTGTTCGGATTCAGAGGCTGATGCCAGTCATTCGCGTAGTTCAGTAAGTTTTGCATATCGATGTTGATGTCCTTTTCAATTTGAATGATTTGGTGTTTAAACTTTAAGTGAATTGACGGAATATACACGATTGCAATATCATCGACATAAGCATGAACATTGCCCAGATTAGCAAACAACTGAGGTAGATCACAGTGACTGATTACGTACATAACAGGACCAAGGCAGCTGCCTTGAGGGGCTCCCCGTTTGACATTGATTGTTACTGACTCTATACCACCATAATCAATTTTTAGAGAACGACTGGTGAAATAGTTTACCATCCAAACTAGATACACGGGTAGACAGTCAAGTTTATTTTATTTTAGGTGCAGCCTTGTTGCCATAACTTGTCAAACGCTTGTAAGAAGTCAATGTATATTACTGGAGTAAATGTATTATAACGCTGAGATTGAGTAATTTGCTCTAGTGGACAATTAGCATGTGATGTTGTTGCTTGATGAGGCCTTTCACCAGATTGATGGTCAGGTAGGATATTCATTTTTGTTGTTCATCTATTAAATCTAAGAAGAAATAACTTTTCATAGACTTTACTAAATACAGGTAGCATCGAGATCGGACGGAATTGATTTTTGGCAGGTGCGGAATTGTCAGATTTATTAAGACAAAATGTACGTGCTAGCTTCCATTCATTGCCTCAGTGGGCTGCACTGAATAGTTGATTATAAGCGTGTGTAAGTATGACGTGGAACTGTTCAGGTATTTCTTTTATCATTTTGTTCGACACTTGATCGAATCCGGATGAGTTTTTACTTTTTAATGAACGAATTGTATCTGTAATATCTTGTTCACTAAAACGAAGATCAGATCGATTGGATATTAATTTGATATCATCTTTATCTCCTGTACTATATAATTGCCATAATTCACGGGCTTCTTTATCAAGTGTCTTCGTCATATCCAGTAATGGTTCGTCATGACGCTCAGTGAAATGTTTCGCTAAATTCGTTACAATATCTTCCGAAGATCTATGTACTACATTTTTCTCGGTAATAGCAGAAAATTCGACCGATTTCTTTTTGTTCAATTTTTTCACGGTATGCCAAAATGTAGTTGGGTTCGGTTAAGCAACACTTGATATAAATCTTGTTCCCAGCTTCGTTGTCGATGAGCTCGAAGCTCTTGTTTGATCAATATATTCCATGTACGCAATCTTATCGATCTTCTTCATTTTCTGAGTGTCGAAATCGATTTTGAAGATAATGTTTGTGATGTAGAAGAATTCGTAGTGTAGATGAGATGGATGGTTGTTTTCGCTTAACTTCCTATCATACTGTTACCCGAAGTTTAAGAGCAATTAGAAATTGTTGTAAATTAAGGAACCACTTGTAAGCGTTGCTCGGATCATTCATTGCATTTTATTGTTCAGCTAGTAGTTGATCATGTAGAGTTATAAGAATATATGTGTATAATTTCCAATACGTGCGAGGTACAAGGAGCTTGATATCTAATGTCTCGAAACGAAAAAAAGTTTTTAATATAGGTAGATGATCACTACATGTATAAGGTAAAGATTGACTTTCTGACGTTTCGGGTATCTCACCAGATATTATGAGTTCACTAGTTGTATCTAAACGTAGTGAAGTTTTAATACCGGCATTTAGTACGTTTAGTTTATGCTTGTTGAGCCAGTTAGTAAGTCACGTCCTGTAGTATTTACTTGTGAACAATCCCAGTCAGGATGCCTGGTATTTAGATCATCTACAATGATAATATTTTTTGAGTGTTTAAGTAAAGTAGACATTGATGCTAATGGAAGTGAATCTGTAGGTGGTGAATAAATGTTGGCAACAACGAATTGTTGATCTTCAATTATAACACGAGCTGCAATAATATTTGGTTCCTTAATATCCATCAATTCACATTTTAATCTCATGTCTATGACAATAACAACTCCACCATAAGGATTTGTACCTTCTTTTGTAAATACAGTGTGTGAGAAGAGAAGTTGCTTGACATTTTTATCCGGAATGATTGTACCTAGTACATTGAGAGAAATAATTACTGGCTCATAAACATTCACCATGCCAATAAGATCAACTTGATTTGAGTAAAAATAACGAATATTATAATGCAGCAATGGCATGATGTTTGATGACGGTTTTGGTTGACAATAATGTTGTTGCCAGAAAGTAGATAGATCTTGAAAATTTCGGGACCAGCAACATTCTTCTAACGTTTCAATTCCAATTTGTTTTTGATGGTCCGAGAGTTCATGTAAAAGAGGTAATAGCTTGTCCGACAATTCTATGAATTTGTATCTATTGAACTGTGGTGACTTTGAATTATTGAGAAGAGACATTAGATTCGATGTAGTTGGTGTGGTCAGATGCTAAATGCTTGTTGTGATAATTCGATTGATGTTTTTGGTTCACCAAGATTTCTTTGATTTTCTTATTCAATTTTTCTAAATCTTCTTAAGTATTTCTATTTCTGGACGATTGAGATACTACACGGGCTAATTCTTGAATAGTTGGAAGAATTGTTTCATGAAGAATATTTTCCATTTCAACTTGACCATCATAATAGACATTTATTTTCTTATCGATATCGCATAGCTGTAATGACAGACGAGAAGAGAATTTATCCAACCGATGTTCCATTTTGTTCAAGAAAGAAGGCGAAGTATATTCAATATTTTTCGGTGAACTTCGTTCACGTTGATTACCCAGGTGAATGAATCCGATCGGACCCTATAAAATCCGACGAGCCGAGAAAATCCCATGGAATTCCGGTTTCAGGATCTACTAACGGATCCCTAGTGTTGGAATCCGGTGATCATTCGACCAAATCCAACAAACGAATCCAATAGGATTTTCAGGAGTCGAATTTCAACGAGGTTTCTAAAGAAGCCTATCGGATTTTGACTGGTTCCTGCAATAATCGATTGGATTCAGCTATTGGATTGTTCGTCCTGGGTAAATGTTACCTGACCATATGATTTTTGAGAAGATTCTGTAGTTTGATGTGGAATGTCTGTAGATGAATACGATTGATTATCATTTAATAATACTGGATAATCACTGCCTTGAAAGTGATATTGATGTTGTTGTCGTTCCGCTCGAGCTAATAGTTCTGATCTTTGTCTCTTTGATTGTTCCGCAAGAGCATGACGTTTTTCTTGTACTACTGGACATGCTAAATGACCAGATATATGATCACCATCACAGTTGATGCACCTTTCGTGATTGGGCCAACCATGTTCAAGTGAATGTTCTTCAGCACATCTTGGGCATAAATGAGGTCGAGAACAGCTTTTTGTTGTGCGGTCATGATGTAAACACTTCAGACATTTATTAATACGTATTGGTAAATGCACTGAAAAACAAGGCGCCAAACGAAACCTTCGAGGTTTCGTCGAACTGTACCATACGTTTTAGGTGTCCATGGAGTTTTACGAAATCTGTACAAGGTTCAGCAAAATACAAGATTTTGTAACATACTTTTAAGACTTTCGAAACTTAGAAAGGTTTCGTTGTGAACTATTTCGAATTTGTGATTCACAATAGGTTTATGTTAGCTCGCTTCGTCAAGCTTTACGTTTTATTTATATCTATTCTTTTTAACACACACGCTCATATGTATACACAGAGAAGAAAGAGAAGAGAGGAGAGAGAATAACAATGATAACGACAGGGAGAGAAAAGGAAAGATACATTAATCGAGGGCCCAGTGGTATCAACGACCGTTAGCAATTTCATCATAAACCCCTGCGAGTTTTGCATTCAAAAAGGTTTGTAAAAAATACCTCGTGAAGAGAATGCATTCATGGCATATCGGGGGAAAAAAGTGATCTCTCTCGACATCCCAACAGAACAACTACATGACTAATGATACAATCAATTGGTGCTTTCACAATTTCATTCAATCGGTTTTCATCAAATCTCATCGCCAGACATCTGAATTCATCCTGGAAAACTTTTTATTGCATTCATCGCTAACTATTTTCTCTCATCAGATTCTAGCGGCTATGATAAAGAACGTGCAGCATATTTATTGGTTGTCTTTTATCGGAATATGATTACCACAATGCTATATTTTTTGTTAAGATTATTGTTTTGTTTTACATTGAACTAATTATTTTAGATTAGATCTCCGATCCAATAGTTACGATATTTCAATTATTGCCACAAAAACAATTGTTGAATCTATAATAACAACTATTTGATATGGGTATCTTTTTGCATTTTTTTCTTCACATCTCATTCGTTTCTTTATTTAGTGTTGATTCAAGTTTTGAAGTTTGGCTATAGAATCTGCAAGTACATCATATCACACTTGAACTATACTTTTTCGTAGTAAAGGTTAGTTACCATAAGTATTAATAAATTCACTTTTCTTTTATTTAGATGCTTGGGAGAATCGCACTGTTGGTAAGTTATTATTATAAACGATAAATTCGTTCATCCACTATTTCAGTTCCTTCAGAATTCGATGATCAGTAATTTAGGATGAGAAAAAAAAACTCTTTTTTTCTATTAAGGTTTGTCTTGAATTACATTATTAGTGAGTACTGATTAGAAAAGATAAATTAGTTTACCTTCTATTTTAGTTCGTTAAGAATTAAATTATTGGATACGTTACTATTAAAAATAATAAATTAGTTTTTCTCTAAATAGATTTTAGGAGGAATTCTATTATTGGTAAGTTACCATTAGAATTAATCAATTAATTAATTCTCTACTTAGATTGATGAAGAATGCTATCATTCGGAAGGTACTAGTATAATTAATATATTCGAATATTTGCTATTTAGGTTCTTGACAGCAGTGGTATTATTTTCATTAACGTATCAAAAGAATCAATCATTTTTTTCATAAAGCTCAGGCAAAAGAATAATATCCTTTATGGGCGTGGGCGCTATTCTAAAAGGAATTATCTGTATTGACTTGTTCTCGGTTTGATAGGGTGATAGTTTAATCGTTCCCATGAGAAGGAGTTAAAAAGCTCTTCTCTTTTCGGTTTCGATGAGAGAATGTAAGTGTTACGATAGTGGACGTTGTGTTGTATAGCTCAATAGATGACAATAAGAATAGTAGTGATAGAGCCGTGATAAGATACGTTAAACAAATTGAGATCGACAATGCTTTTGTTGTTGAGAGAGCTGTGAAAACAGCGATTTATGCATGAGTCTTATATTGAATAGTGGTGCAAACTGCTTTAGTAGTAGAGTATACTATTCAGCGAAACTTTTGTCCAATACTGTGTAGCGTATTTTATGGTACGTGAAGAGCGAAACCCTTTTTTATACGGGATAAAATTATTGTCTTTTATAAAACCTACAGGGGTTTCGATTTCGTTTCAAAAATCAGAACCTTTTTGAGTTTTGTATGGCACCGTTTTTGTTTTCAATGTGGTTTGACTTCACTGGATGAATCATACTTCCCACATTTATTTTTCCAGATTTAATGAGTGTTCTGACCTCTTCAATTGTTTTAAAATCGACTCTAACAGCATTTAATGTTGATCCATCTTTCATACGTATTCTTGTAATTTTGTATAAAGAGACATACCGTTGTTGTTGCAATTCAACTAGCCATTCATCTTCATTCCAATTTCGATGAAATTGTTGAATTATAAGTGAATATGCAGGTGGACATTGACGTGGAGCTTTTATTTCAATATCTACATCTTTCAACAATCTTGGCGCCCGGCTTGAATCTAAAAAGGATTCGAAAGACGATGAGTCATCAGCAAAAACAAGAAGAGAATGCAGATGACCAAAACGTGCAGTTATTGTTAGATCAATACCATGCTGATTTTTCCATTTTGATGTATAGATCATCTGTAATATCTTTAATCGAAACTTGTTGGTCTCCTTAATTTAACAACAATCGGTGGAAATATTATTCTCAAATTAGCTGTCCAATGAGTCATATGTTGCTGAACAAAATCTGTTTGTTGTTGAAAAGATGGTGATATATAACGTCTAGGACGTTTATTAGTGGTCCTGTCTATACTTTGATTCCGGTTTTGTATCGGTGTTTGTTGTTGATGTATAATCTGTTCTATCGGTGATTCATATCCCTCGGTATTATTCATAGCGAGAGATATGTAACGAAAGCGAAGGAGATAAGTCGTGACTATCTTGTAAGGTTATAATAAGCGAATGAATTTATCAATAATGATACTTCACGTTCAGTGTCAAATTAGCGTAAGTACTCGTCGATACTTTAGTAACGGCAACAAAAAAGTTAATGAAAAAAAGCGGAAGCCATCTAAGCTATTAGAATATTGTGTTCTTTCAATTTTTTCTTGTCCGACAAGAGGAGAGTATTTTTTTTCAAAATAATTACTCTAATATAATCACTTTCAAATATGATTACTTGATCAAAAGAGAATGTAGACTTCAAATAGAACTTGTCAAGTTTTTCACAGCGTCGAATCGGGTCGGTTAGTTTTAAAATAGATGAAAATGGATATTTTTCAATAACGAGAGAATATGTTTCTAACATGCAGCGTCAATCATTATTTGACAAGATTGAATAGAGAGTAACTGCCTTCTTATTCATTCTGACAATTAACATTGGGAGCCAATCTAATGAGTAAAGATATTGGAGAAGAATGGCCTCGGCATGCTATAAAGTGCTATTGTGCTGAAGTATGTCATAGCAACTTCTTAGACGCTCTAACTTAGTAAAACAAAATTGATACAGACAAAGACTGTTCGGCACAGCGGAAAATCAGTTCCGGTTCATCTCAGCTCCTAGTACTTCTTTTGTTTTGTCACAATACACATCACATTTTTCCTCGAAGACATGTTGTTTCCTGCTCTATTTTATACTTTTCAAATCTTTACCTGATATTAATCTAGAACTGAGAGGTTTCTGGGAAAAGAAACTAGTTTGTTGAACAAATCAATCATTGAGCAATTTATTTGCTTGATCTCAGTCCGCATCAATATCGTGTTCATTTACTACCAGGCCATCGAATACTCGGAATTTAGAAAAGACTCGCTGCCTTAGTGCATTAGGAATTCAAACCATTATTCAGAAGTAATTGAACTCTTATCAATAAACGTATTATTTACTTGGGTTTAGAAGCTTCTGGTGGTCTATAATTTTCTTATACTAGCAAAGTTGTCATGTTTACTTGAACGGGTGAGCATGTGATTTATTTAATTATATGATAGCGTAGTCTTAAAAGATATCAATTATGGTTTCTGCAGTGACAAGTATAATCCTTGACATGTTTTGTAGAGAGAAAAAAAAGCGGATTCCATCGTTCTATAAAGGATTCATAAGCTCAACTGTTGATGAAATAGCCGGCATTGATGAATATGTGTTTATTGTGACTCTTCCAAAACAGAGAGAAATGACTTAATTAAGATTCACTCGGATTTTCTTTTCGATATATCTTTATTACTACTAATACAATATACTAGAGTACGAAGTGGAAGACGACGAAACGGTAAACACCCAGGTGATAGGATCTTACTGTAAGATCTTGGAAGATCCTTGCACGATTTCGTCAGATCTAGTAAGATTCTTATAAGAACTCGTAAGATTTTCCGAGAAACATAGTCTGATTCGTGATGTAAGATCCTATAGTAAGATTTGATCAGATTTCGTAAGATTGATGAATCTGGGTAGGGCAGTTTTCTTCTTTTTTTATTTTATTTATAAAACTCGTTTCTTATTGTTTTAACTAAATGACTGTATGCGTCAATAGCTGCTTCATCTTTATGTTTGTTATTCTAACACACAAAACTAATCGAAGAGTTTGCTTTTTTCCATCTTGTAGAGAACGTGTTCATCTGTATCGTGCAAGGATCATTTCTTTAACAAGCATTGAAGTGTAATAACGATGAGGAAAATGCGTAGTTCTGAAGAAAAGAAAAAAACAATGAGCCTGATTTATCAAGCGACCTACATTACGTATGAGATAATCAAATAATTTTTTACGAGATTTGATCGTAAGCTCATTGATTCGAATAAGCACGGAAATTTATTTTTATTCATAACAGATTTTTTTCGAGCTCATGTATATCGAAATATTGACAATAAAATTCAAAAAAATAGCAAATGATCATAGTTCTTGCAGAGCTATACGTGCAATTGCTTGATTGTACTGTAGTTCTCAATGATCATATAAACATAAAAAAAAGCTTTTCTCTCACACCCAAACTCCTTTTTTTGGTTTTAAATAATTATTTCATTATCGAGAACTTCTTTTCTATACATATTGAAACATGAATAATAGTATAAATATGTACGAAGTTATGAATCTATGATAGAAGCAAACACAGAATAGTGTGATTCCGTTTCTATTTTTTTTTCTTCTTCTCTATAAACTCATTTACTGTCAGCCGTTCCATCGCGTGTGACATTTACTTTAAAGTGTTTATCTTCTTCTTTTTCCTTACTTAAGTAGAAGTCAACACTTTTATTGAAAGTGACAGATCACATACTCACACGCGCCCATATATGCAAAATTATTTTTATGGTGTTTAGAATAAAACCGAAACAAAATTTACTATTATGTATCTTTGCATATTTTACTTATCAAATAATGTGAGAGCGCAATGAATAGATAGATAGAGAAGAAAAAAGAGTAATGCCCCATTGAATAAAAGATAATATCGTGTTTAGTCGTTGGAATCAGTATTTACAAATGCAAGACAAATGACAAGTACTCCAATAGAACATGTGCGGCGAGTGAGTATAGAGATGAGACAACACTGGAGGAGCACACAAAAGCATTGCCGCTGATTCAAACTAAACCATTAACGCTCCCTTCCTTTTACTTATTCAGATTCCTTCTCTTTTCTCGTTTCTAACATCTTTCTTGTTTCTTCGACGATGTTGTCTCGCTGGTGATCACTCTTAATTGTGTCTTGCTCCCTTTCTTTCTTTTAGATCGTCAGAATTTTCCATTAAGTAGACACGGTCAGACACGCAAGCAACTACGTTCCATACTCGCTGAACACTAATTTATTTAAACGACGACTCGGCTATTATCTAAGTAACTCTATTGTATCTATTCGTGAAATCAAAAGGTATGGCGAATGGATGTTGCTCTAATAGATTATGTACTGATCGAGAAACACAGCTACATTTAGCACGTCTTCGTGAAGAACTATTAACAAATTTCAATAGTTTGCTATTGGATCGAATTCGTTTTCTTGAACAAACAATTACTCGTCTATCATCGCCATCATCATCATCATCGTCAAACGTGCAAATAGCAGCAGCAGCAACAGCGGCGCCACCACCAACACCAGTTACGCCTACGTCTAAAAATTTCATTGCAGCGCCTGTACCTATAGATCGACTTTCGACGCCGTCACCACTTCGGCGTAGTTCATCGACAACAACGTATTTTCTGTTGAGCCCATCTAATCAAAACTCGAGCGGAAATGGAGGAGGTGCCCGTTCATGTCCATCAAGTGTTGATTTGTCAAGTAGTAGCGATCGAAGCGGGAAATTTTTTTCATCAAAAAAACGTTCACAATCACGAATAAGACAATCATCAGAGAGTAATGCGAATTACTTATCGATACCTATGAATGCACCATGGTCTACATTTACACATGATCTCGTATCGAATACTCATGCGGGTAATGAGAAAGGACGCCTAGAATCAAGGCGCTTCGCATGCGATGTTGACGATAATGAAGTGCGTGCGTTCAAAGCGATGATATATATGGAGCAGGCCCGGAAACAACACGCACGACCATTAACTCGCTTACGACAAGCATTGGGTATATCAACGAATTCTACTGCAGCAAATTATACATTGAACAGTTCAAAAAAGAATTCAAACCCTTGAAAATACTGTGAACTAATTATGATGCGATTTTTTTTAACCAAGAAAATATAAAGATATTCGAGATTCATTGAACTTTTTCATTTTGATAAAACTAAACACGATGAAAATTGATTTTTGCATTTGAACAACAAAATCTCGAAAAAAATTTGAAAAATAATATTTTCCATTCCTAGTAAAATTGATAATGATTGAAAACTTAGCTAAATGTGACTGAACTATTTTGATATTTGAGAAACAAATAGTCCAGCACCAATAAGTTTTTGTTGTTGTTGTTGTTGTTGATGACGATGAAGTTTTGAACAATAATTGTCTATGACGTGTCTTTTTCCGAATAATTGTTCATAGTCCGATTGATGATTAAATTTCATTTCATTTACAAAACTATATAAACTCGATAACCTTCATCTAAGATGTTTTATTCGAATGGCGTGAGATTTACTGTACTAAGTTAATCAGAATGGTATATACTTCGAGTACTATTCGCCAAGATGCCATGGTGAACAAGTTTTTCATTCTTGCAAGTCTCTCATTTGCAAAGCTTATGGTCGAGATGAAGATTGAGATACAAGATTTTTCGACAACTCAAAATCTCATCAAATTTTCTCAGTTTGTACATTTGAATAATGAAAACAGTTAAATAACCGTTTAAATAAATTTCAATCTTACATCATCATGTGTTTACTGTTGTGGTTGTTTTTTCTCCCATAGAAACAATATACTATTATGCCTACGCTATATCTAAAAGCTCAACTACAGTGATTGATTTTATAGTATTTACTCAACTAATAAGACATCACTTAGTGATGACAATTCTTTTTTGTATATAAATATTCATACACATATTGCCGAGTACTTCCTTTCATCTTGGCTGTCAGTGCCGTTCAATAATGCTAGACATTCGTAATAAAGGGAAAAAATTGTTCTTTTGCACTCAATGAGTATCTATTCAAAAACGTTTACGCCAACTACACAGAACTAGTCTATTGCATAAATTTATTAGAAAATAAATAGCAAGACAAATTTTAATCATAATATAACAGAACGATTTGATTGATTTTCTTGTATTAACATAAAAATCAACATTGTTATAAACTAATGTGAAAAAATTCCAGATTTTGTTTTCATATTCATGTCGTCAATATTACCATAAAATTGCTTGGTAAGCATTCAACGCATATTAGCTTTTATCGCCCAAGAAAATATTTTGTTTTGTCATAGATAAAATTGCACTTGTAAAAACAATAAAGCCATATTAGCAATTAGACAAGAAAAATACTTTTTTTTTAGCAACACATAACTTGAGCGATTCACAGGAAATGTCGATAGAATGAGAAATCTTATATCAAGATCAACAAAGATTTATACTCGTGCAGCTATACCCCTAGGTCATGATTGTATGACGAACAAACCCTTGGCATGAGCGACCTCTTTTGTGTGCACTATTTTTCCTCAACGGTGCTCCAATCGAAAAGAAGATATGAATATAATTCTGATCTATCAAATATCCGGTCGAATTTAATTTTTTCAAGTTTTTTATTACCTAAGGCCAAATAGACTCTCTCACCTGTCATGATTTTTACCGCGGCTGACATTTCATAGATAATTGAATTTAATAAACATACTACGAAACTGTTTTTATCGAGGCCAAACTCATGATGGTTTCGAAGAGGGATAAAGATTATGTAACGAAGTTTGACAAAATTGTGTATACACCTTAATTTTTATTTTCATACTTTAATAGTAGATATTTTTTGTTGTCGAGATGGCACGTGTCATTATTCAATATCGTAATTACGAATTTTTTCTTTTCTTTCATCTAGAATATGACACACGTGTCATATCAAGAAAAACAACTTTTACCATATGTTTACCTTTAGTGTACGACGCATGACAATGTACTGTGAATGAATATTCAGGTATATTTTTCATTGAAATGACTGTTGTTTTTGAATAAAAAAAGCAATTAATATTTCTTATACATTTGTTTCTTCTATCTTTTGAATTGACGATTAAATTTCAGATGGCTACCATGTCCTTTAAAACCATATCTCTGTCGAGTTCAATAACAACAACAAATGCAGCTCGTCTTGGTGAACTAACATTTTCAACAATACCAAAAATAATCGAAACGCCTGCTGCTATGCTTTATGTACGTTCCGGTGTTGTACCCGATGTGACTTATGATCTTATACCTGATAATGTAACACGTTTATTTGAAATTCCACTTGGTAGTTTAGTTGACTCTATGAAAAATCTTGAACATACAGGATCATATGGAAGCTTTGCTCGTATAACCGATCCTATCTATTGTCCATTTCATGATTCTCTAGTTGAATTACGACCCGGTGGTAGTGGAAATCTTTATTCAAGTGTATGGACAAAAGCAGGACGACAAGAATTAAATATTGAACGATTTAAAAAATTAATTAAACTTGTTCAACCGTCCGTCTATGAGCCAATGTTCGATGGTGATACTCCGATTGATAAAACTACAGAAAAGCGTTTAGTTAAAGATCGTGAACGTAGTCGACGTTTTTTGGAAAGTTCATTAGGCGATAAAACTATACTATCGAATGCAATTATTCCACTTGTTGGTGGACAGGACAAACGTCATCGGCAAATATATTTAAATGATATTCTTTCTCATATATCAAACAATGAAAACAATATACTTGGTGTTAGTTTCGAAGGTTTTCATTCTTATGGTCCATCAACCGAGAATACTGATTTAAATTCTTTAAAACCAATAATTGAAGAAACAAAAACGAAATTGATCGATTATAAGAATATTCTATTTACTATGCCACTTCTATGGCGACCGGATAATGTCATACATGGAATTGATTTGGGTTTAGATCTTTTTTCTGGTGCTTATGTTGCTCATATTTCTGATCGTCTTATAATATTATCATTTCTATACAATGATAAAATGTCTTCGAATACTCTCGGTGCAGAATATAATATTAATTCTAAACAATATGCTAATGGTAAGCAATCTCTTGTAGTAGATTGTGGTTGTTATACGTGTAAAAACTATACACAAGCGTATGTTTATCATCTAATACAAACAAAAGAATTACTTAGTCGAACATTAATTACAATTCATAATTTATATCATTATCATGGATTTTTTCAACAAATTCGGGAAAATTTAAAAGCAAATACATGGAATGATTATCGAATAATGATACTTAAACAATATGCAATCGAACAAGAAAAAAAGGAATAAATGTTTGTTATCATTGTTGTAGTGAAACTACATACTTTGTTTTGTTTTGTTTTGGTTTGGTTTTTTATTAAAGTAAACTTTTCAATGAAAAGAATGTAATAAACTAGGAGACAATGTGTTTTTTTTTCTCATAAAATGAAAGATTTTATCTTATTGAAAGTAGTGAGGTAACGTTTGAAACCACGAGAGGGGTCCTTTGCAATCAGTTCATTTTTAGTGTCAGCAACAAAAATCGAATTAAATCGATAATCTACTTAATTTGAATCTGTATTATCAATTACCAATTTGATTTTTTTTCTAGATCATATTTCATTGGTTTAAATTAATTAATAATATATATTAATGCCGTTATTTGTACACTAAAGCAAGATCACGTAGCAAACTTGATAAAAATCAACACTTTTAAGAATTGATGCCAATCATTATGCGCTGTGAGATATTATGCATTGATTGCCGATTTAACTATGGTACAGTCTATGAGTAAAGTTAGACATAGAGTTATGATGATAAAACATAATCATTTCAAGTTCGTATCTCATGTTAGTTTAAGTATATTAAAACATTGACAGGACCATACGATGTTTGTTGTTTTGCTCAGCTGTATAGACTACATCTATTATCTAGAAGAGTCATATTATGTAGTGCAATACCAACATGTACAACGCTCCGTGTATATCTATGTCAGTTTTGATTTGAATAAAAGTGGTTTCCCCCATTTAGGTAAAAAGAACCGTGACATTTACGCTGGCCTGAGCATGATTGGCGAATGACTAATGTTGATAGTGACGATGATGATAGTAAAAAGCATTGGTCTATGCTTGAATGAATAATAGCCTTGTTTTTTAAACACTTGGACATGATTTTTTTATATGCATTCGTATAGAAGTGAAATAAATAACTAGATTAGTCATCAGAGTAATTAATGGCGTGTTTTTTTTATTTATATTTTCATTTCAGATGTCGAACCAGAAACATTTTAATTTGTTTTGAGAACAGAGCAAAACGAAATGGAGGCAAAAGGGTATGTTTGTTTTTCATTACAGAAAGCCTGTTCTATAAACAATAATGTTCTATTTTTTGTTAACACGTTAAAAAAATTGAATTCATTGTTTTAGTTGCAACGGTATCGAACATTCCAATGAAATTATAAATAAACTTCCGAAAGCGTTGACTAATCATGTGACTCCTATCGTTAATAGTCAACAAGTGTCAGAGAAAAAAGTTCTTCCAGGTTGGTTGATACAAACAAAACAAAACAAAAAGTTTTTTTTAATTTTCTATATTGCAGTTTTTCCTTGGTTTGCTATTGATATCGGTGGAACGCTAGTTAAACTTGTTTATTTTGAACCGCTTGATTTAACACTCGATGAAATTCGGACTGAAGGTGAAATTCTCATGAATATTCGTCATTATTTAGTATCGAATCGTGCATATGGCGAAGATGGGTTTCGGGATGATGATCTTGAATTGAAGAATATAAAATTCGGCGGCCGCCGAGGAAATCTCCATTTTATTAGATTTCCCACGTCGAAAATGCCAAATTTTATTGATTTATGCATTATGAAGCATCTGCATACATTAACTTTTCAAGTTTTCGCAACAGGCGGGGGTGCCTATAAATTCGAATATGATGCAGTTGAAGTAAGTACTCGTCTTTTAAATAAAAACAAGGTAGAAATCAACGCAGGATTAAACCCCTACACAGAATAGAAGCCCACCCTCTGGGTTAGATTTCTCCGTTGAAAATCAAGGTTTACTTCATGAAAAATGAACTAAAACCGATGAAAAATGACAGGACGAACATTTCTCTATCAAATAACGCAAAAACTGGCATCAGGACATGCTTTGTTGCAAAATTATAGCTTGTGGAACAGAGACACCACCCATGGACTTCTATTCTGTATGGGGGGTTTAACATGTTATCAATATTCTGGGATATTTAACGATGTAATCGATAGCTTAAAAATGATCCCACCTCTTTTCGAATATGAAAAAGAAATGTTTCTTCAACTTCGGTTCTTGAAAATAACTCAGCGTACAAGTAAAAGAGAAAAATCTCAACAACTTTCGACCGAACCATTCTTGCGACGAGATAAGATATTTGCGTCATCCCCCTACTAGATTATGTTTCATAGAAAAAACTCCAAAATCTTATTCGATGGTTCGTTTTATTATTATTATTAGAAATTAAAATTGAGTTGGCACAAATGTGATGAACTTGATACATTAATAAAAGGCTTGAGTTATTTAAGCAAACTTAATCCCAACGAATGTTTCTATTACGAAGAACCACAAAATGAGGCTAACCCAAATAAACATCCATTTAAATTTGATATTCAAAATCCATTTCTATTGGTGAATATTGGCAGTGGAATCAGCATACTACATGTGGAATCTGAAACAAGCTATCGTCGTATAAGTGGCACAAGGTTGGTTATATAAACTTATTTTCTATTCGTATTATTTAAATCACAGTGATGTTTCTCTTAATATTGATTGTAGTATAGGTGGCGGTACGTTTTTGGGTCTATGTTGTTTATTAACGGGCTGTTCAAGTTATGACGAAGCAATTCAGTTGGCCACTGCAGGTGACAGTACAAAAGTGAGTTTCATGGTTAATAAGTATGACTTTGATTTGATCGATTTAATTGAATTAGGTTGATAAATTAGTCAAGGATATCTATGGTGGTGATTACGAACGGTTCGGTCTACCAGGTCACATTGTAGCAAGCAGGTAATTCTCAGAAGATTTCAATGTGCTGATTCGAGAAAAAATGCCACGCGCAACTGTCTGTGGGATTCATGGAATACTAGAGAAATTGAACTGTTCTTTTGACTGAGGTCATCTTTCTACTAAATATTTTTATAATAGGAAAATTGACTGTTGAAATAATCTTATCTACGATTCTAGTTTTGGTCATATGAATCTATCGGAAAAACGTGATCAAGCAACAAAAGCTGATTTAGCTCGATCGACTTTAGTAACCGTTTTAAATAATATCGGTTCAATTTCCATGATGTGTGCTCGAACAGAAGTAAGAATTTTATTTCTCTCATATTCGTTTAGAGTTTTGTTTTTCATTTATAGAATGTGAATCGAATATTATTTAGCGGCAGTTTTTTGCGTATTAACGATTTGTCAATGCGAATATTAGCATTTGCTATGGATTATTGGTCGCGCGGTAAAATTAAAGCAATTTTTCTTGAACATGAGGTACAAAAATACGAATAAATCTGTGGAAAAAAGAACTCGTCACTTCATTTTTTGATTTTAGGGATATTTTAGTGCTGTCGGTTCTTTAAGAGAATTTATACGGGATAACGATGATCTTACCACTACTGCAACTACTACTCAAAATTAAATATATTTCTCCAATTTTGCCTGTTGGTTGTCTTTTTAACTCTGCGTTTCTGTTTTGTGATACTAACTCAAAACTTATTATCGATAATCACATTCTCTATATTCTGTTCGTGTTTTCGCAAGCAACTTTTTTGTGAAATTACTTGTTTTTGTTTTTTCAAAAACTTGAATCCGTGTTTTTTGTTTTGATCTAGTGGTTCAGATGTTCGGCTGCTTTTTCTCATGTTTATTTGCTTGAAGATAGAAAGAAGAGAATATGGTACTTCTTGGAAGTATTTTTGATATGTTTTGTATAATGGAATGTTGTTCAAATCATTGGATAAAGAATGATATCAACGGTAAGTGTTCTGTTCTAATGGTATTTGGTTGTAATTTTGTTTTCGTTTCGATTTTCTTAAGAACTCGATTTACGCTTGAAAAACCAATTGATAGGTCAACCACTTGCTTATGATCTCATATTGAGATCGATTAAGTCACATACGTCTAATCTGAATCCATCCAAATCTCTTGTTCTTTCTTTACATGGTGGAACTGGTACAGGTATGTGTTACGTAGGCTGAATGCTATTCGTGTTCAATGCTGGCGCTGGGATTTTAATGACAAGATTAATTCACTTGTCAGCTTCAGATTGAGATTTCAAATTTTGATTAAAACCAAGCGTTGATGCAGAAGTATTCTCTTGAGATTGTTTCCATGAAATGTTTGAAGTTGAAATTACTTCGCTGAGGGAAATACGAAGCCGCACTGGAAGATACAGCTATAATGAATGTCAGTAGCAAAAGCGCGAACTCTTCTTCGAAATATTCATAATCTACTGAAATTGTAATAGTCAATACCCGACCAGTGTGTCTATCGAATAATAATTCTTTTATTAAAATGGTTTTCTTAAATTATTTTACTTTTAATTTAGGGAAAAATTTTGTTGCAAAACACATTGTCGAAAGTCTCTATCGCGAAGGATACAAAAGTAAATATGTGCGACTGTATGTGGTTTCTCGTGACTTCATGCATCATGATACAGTACACATTAGTCAATACAAGGTATGATGTGTAAGTAAAGAAAAATCATAGATTTAGTTAAATATCTCGAGATTCTACACTTCAGTTTTCATCCGATGCATGTTAAGCTACTTCAGACTTACATTCTCATTGAAATCCTAAGCTGAATCACGAATTGTGATGACTATAATCACGTGCTTTTGCGCAAAGTGATGGAATTTATTTTAAGTCTATTGTAAGATTTTTGAACTTTCCTATAAGATTGCAGAGCTATTTATTCATGATTTTCTTACTAAATTAGCCGTAATGCGAAACAGCCGATGAATAATTTCTTTTTCCCAGGATCATTTAACGGAAGATATTGAAAAAATAGCGAGTAAATGTCCACAAGCGACATTTGTCTTCGATGAAATCGATCAAATGCCAAAACAATTATTAGATGTTATTCTCTATTATATTGATTTTCATACGCCAACCGCTTCGCGATCAACAGATTATCGTAAGACGATTTTTATCTTCTTAAGGTATGAAAACTAAAAACAAAATATTGTATAGAAAATCAAATTTCATTTTATAGTAATACTGGTGCAAAATCAATTAATAACTTAGCTGAGAAAAATTATCGTTCATCAATAAGACGTGAAAATTTTAATATTCTTGAATTTCAACAAGCTCTTTCAAATGCATCGTCCAACGAAGAAGGTTAAACTGACACTATTAGCTTAATTTTTACACTCTTTTACTGTTATAGGTGGATTACAGTCTGCATCATTAATTGATCGACATTTAGTGACATTTTTTGTTCCATTTCTTCCACTTAAACGCGAACATATTCGCGTTTGTATAAATCAGCAATTGGCAATCATCCTTGAACATGACGAATACGAGTACGAAGTGTCTGTAGATGACATTATCAATAATGTGATAAATCTAATTGAATTTACGCGAGCATCATCCTCGTCGCTAGAATATTCTTTGTCAGGCTGCAAAAAAGTTCAACAAAAACTTCATTATATTTTTGAAACTATGCAGCCAACATTAAAAAAAACCAAGAAGAAATTATACGATAGTGATGATTTGTTGTAAACTGTCTTTTTTTTTTAATTTTCTTCGACTTTATAAAATAAATCGTAACGATTTTTCACATGTTTCAACGTCGAAAACTTCCTGCAAATCTAAACCTAATGTTTTGCATCTCATCATGCGTTTTCTATTATTTATACAGATTCTGTCAGTCTTTTAATGATTTTCAAACAATAAAAGCGTTCCAGTAACTAAACCCATTAACACAGTGAATATTAAATATGTTCTCATCGATATTAGCAAATCAATTCTTTAACGAAGAAAGACCTAGTACGATTCTATTCAAAATTTTCATTAGAAGTGACATTGAATCCGTATAATATAGATAATGGTATTTCTATTTTAATGGATACAAAAAGTAAATTTTTCCACTCAACACCATCGAGTTTCGAGTGCGCTAGAAGCATTAAATATTATTATTTCTCTTCAATCAAAAACCACAAGAAGTATGTTTAATGAAGCATACACAAAACAAAATTGATCTTTTTCTCATTAATCAATTATCAATTATTCGCCTTGTAGTCGCTAGGAAAAAAAACCCATCAACAAAAACGAATAAAAACTAAAACATTTAAGAAGTTCATTAAAGCATTTTTGTTTTTAATTATTCGCTGCTCAAACGAAACAGATACACACCGATGAACTAGAAACTCGTATGAAAAACATAAACACTCTCGGCCATAATAGTCGCTTTTTAAAATTTGTCGTGACTGCAAAAGAACTTCCTCGTAGGTGTAAGCCTATAATTAAAGTATAATAAATCGAGTGTCAAAGAATTTGAATTCTTTATAATTAGAAAAATTAATAAAACCAACAGACATCGACAATGACGCAAAACATTTTCAACTCAACTTATTGTTCATCTAGGACCAAAAAAGAGAAAACAGTAACCAATTGAATAATTTATAAAATATACTCCCTATGGCTATAGAAAATGTTTTTCTATGGGGTATCAAGTCTATCAATATAATCGTAATAGGAAACTTTTCTTTGCGTGGATAATATATTTTAAAGATAAAATTATCAACAGTCATCAACGTTAATGAAACATACATTTGAATATGGTCAAACATGAAAAGTAAATCAGATAGGATCAATTAAAAAAAACACAGCTAATCGATTGTAATCAACATCACTAACAATGTAAACTACTCCAATAGAAGACAAAAACACAAGATATTTAATCCGACATACACATCTTCACATGTGTTTTCATTTTCATACAAAATAATATTGTTTCGCTTTCGAAATAAAAATGATGGTCGACTATAATTATTACAAATGATTTATCAAACACACAATTCGTATCTCGTAGCTGTCAATTTGAAGTGTTAAAATGAAATTGGTATTTCTGTTGATAATTTTGTTTTCATCTTCATCCGGTTCATTCAAGCATGTTAGTGTGAAAACTGATTTATCAATTCATCACCTTCGCAAAGGAACCTTGCCAATAGTATAAATAAAAAACATATAAAATGTCCTTTATCGCCTGACTTCTGTTTATATGATAAATAATTATTTATATTTAAATTGAAGGATAAACCGCGAATTCATCAGAGAAGCAAAATAAAAAACAGAATTTGAATATAAAAAGAAAAAGAAGTACACTGTACATCGATAGTCTGTCCTTGATAAATACATATGCAGTGAAGGTGACTAGGTTTGAGTGAAAAAGAAAAACATAGATTGAATAGAAGCAATTCATCAAGGTTTGCATCTTAAAATCTATGTGTTACTTTTTTCTTTATTCATGAGTCGTTGCTTGTATAACTTCAGTTACTAAATCTGGAATGCATGCAACATATTTATGCCAACCTTCGGTTTGCGTTATAGCTTTAAGATTTCCATTGACAATAAATTGTATGACACGTGATTTAAGTTCCTTTGAATGATGTTGATCGGCGAGCAATAAGATTTCAGCACTTGTCTCGACTGATATTGAACTCATTAAAGCCATTTCAGCTTGTAAACGTAAATCTTCTAATTGATATTTATCAGCACAACGATATAATTCAACAGTTGAATTTTTAATATCACTAACTTTACCAGTATAGATATATTCGAGCATGGACTGAATTGTTTCAGAACGTAAATCATTGATTTCAATGATATTTGTCGTACTTTCTAAAGTCGAATTGGAAAACATAGCTGCGAATACAGGCGATCGAGCAGCTAGAATCAATTTATGAACATGAAAAGTAACTTTCGATGGATTTGAATCATGATGATTGATTTCGATGATACCATTTGAATTTTGCGATGGTGAAACTCTCGCTAGAATTTTAATATCACTCATTTTCGGCGGAGAATGAAGTAACAATTGACTGAAATCTCGTACAAGTCCTTCGAGACCACGTGTTGTAAAATTAATGCATTCAGTATCATCGTATTCTTGATATTTCGTGTCTTCAGTGATAGCATCATCCATTATTGTTATACGTACGTATATTTTAAGTTTATCATCATCGAGTGTGTCATTCTCGAGTAATGTCAATGTATCATATTTAACATAATTAATAAAACCACGTGTATTACCACATTTATAAACTGAAAATTGTGCATCTTTACGCATTTCTGTTAATTCACATTTACGATTGACAAGTGAATATTCTGCTTTAGCTTTAATATCACGTTCACCTTTGATATATTCAAGAAATATTGACATATAATTCGATGCTGCGCCATAATTTCCTTTTGGATAGCAAACAAGACGCCATTGTGTCAAAGCACTAGCACCTACCACAGGGCTGAATGGTGACGATGATAGACAAATAATAGGTTCTGGATCTTGAAGATAGGACGAAAAATTTTCAACAATCCACATATGTGAAAATGTCTGTAATGTTCGTTTCGTACAACAAACGCTATCGAGACTATAGTCGTTCCGCATAATTGGTAACAAGTTAGTGTTTGTTGTTCCAGCTGACATTGATTCGTTAGAAGATAAAGAAGCACTTGAAGAAGATTTTAATATTGAATTGTACATGCTACAGAAGAAATGTAGAAATTCAATGAAATTCTAAGGCTTATTAAATTGAATGCTCTAAAAAGCCAGCGGTATAGATGCATGTGTATATTTGCTTACGTGACTCTCTTTTGCTTTGCTCTCATTGCGGTTCATTTCTTCGCTTTTTTTTCTGAGCTAGTGGAAAAAAAATCTGAGGCACACCAGTAAGCAGCACAGGCGGAATAATAAGCGACCTTTTCTTTCTTCCGAAGCATTGCCACTAGTCAAAACGCCATATTCGAACGCTCAAGTGAACGCATGCGTTTCTCACTATGTTACTACTCTCATCTCTCTCCTTTCTTTTTTCTTTGAACGCACAACAGCAAAAGAATGAATGCAAGAAAAAGAGAAACGAGGAAAGACATAAGATGACACTAAGATAATGAGCCATGAACAGACATATACACATTGCATACGATTTATAGATACTACACAAGCACAACATAATTAGCTAGCCGAACATATGTCTATAAAAAGGAGTACTATTAATTGAAAAGCTGAACGATCTTACGTGCGCCTGTTCATATTGTCTCGAAATAGAGTGAGTCTCGACAGCGTGGTACGCACATCTGTTGCCCCTCTCCGTTCATTGACACCACTAGAACTCCAAGTCTTCATAATTAGTACAATGACAATAATAATGATGATATACAGCCAATAGCACTAAGTCTATTATCTAATGTGATCTGAGTCGGAAGACGTCGCCGTATGAAATGCTGTAAAATGTCAATTAGACGAACAACAATAACAACGCTAGTGAGGGTGAATAGATTCTTGTGATCGACTATTTCGATATGCATGTTCCTATAATATATATCGCCTCCGCCTACTCGTAAAACACAGTGTTGTCGACGATGTTACTTTATCATGCATTAATTTCTACCTCTCTCTCTCGCGTGCTCTCTTTTTTTCTGTCTTTTGTGTCTTCCTTTCATGGCCGGGCGTCGTACTGCTCCGTAAGCGTCGCATCGCATTCTTTTCTGATGAGTAACACCAAACATCACAGATCATGTGAGAGTAAGAAGAGAAAAGAAAAAAAGGCATGTACTGTATAGTTAGTTGATGGTTTTTATCGGCTTTTTTCATCAGAGTTCGTATTTTTGTTCTTTTTCTTTATATACAAAATGGGCCAAATACTTTTAATCAACTGACGACGACCCAACAATCACAGATGATAACGAGGAAAAAAATAAGACAAACATTTTTCTCTCCTGCACAAGAAAAACATATTGATTAGATGATGACAGTGACTACAATAACTCAAATAGAGAATTTGGAATAAAATAAAATAAAATAAAATAAAATCTATTTTCAATGTGTCAATTTTCTAAAATATGGATTATTGATTCACACTTGAATTAAAAGAAAAACGATTGCCGATAAAAATCTGTGAGAAAAAGAAACATTTGACATGTTTGAACAGTTTTTTTCCGTCTTTTAAACGAATATAATCAATACAATAATAGCTATTCGAAAGAAGAAGTGCATCATTCTTATTTCAACTACTGTTCAAGGTTTCGTCAAGATATATTCACTCAATCATATTTATTCATATCTTAGTGTAAGAGGAAAAGAACACGCACGAGATTCTCTTATGATTTCACATCTCGAAGCAAAACAAATGTTAAAAGCACTTTAATCTATTCACATGTTTTCGTCTCGACTGACCTTTATTTCCTTAGATTCCTATCTAAGTTATGTGAGACTTCTTTCAGTCAAGGGTCTTCGTTGTATATTCGATTTGACAGTAATACAATGTCAATAACAACTCAGGTAGATCATTAATCTAATTCACTCGTTGACATTGTATGATAGACAACAGTGAACCAAAAGGAAAGTTAATTGTTAACAAATACACTGAAAAGAAACGAACACAATCATTGCCACTAACCCGTAATCGCTTATCAATACCGAGCGTGTGTCTGCGCCATCTGTCATCGATCATATCAATTATTCGGCTAGAAATCAATTGAGAAATATAGTGTTGCAACAGTTCTCTATAGTTCATCGCCTTCTATTCTAGTTGAAAAATGATTCAATCTCGATGGATTATACAATCTTTAACAATGTGTACCGAAAAAGAAGAAGAAGCTGCTTGATACTATTGTGTCAAGCTAAGACACCCTGCTCTGCCTGTTTTTTGTTTTTCTTTTCCCGTTGTATCTGATTTACTGTCCACAGTATTTTATATGTATATGTTTATCTAAATAAGAACAAAGCGTCGTCTGTCTGCCTGTTTGTTACTATTGAGGGACGTGTGTCTCTTTATGCTGCTTTAATATTTCATAAGCGAACGCGTTGTCGCAGCTCAAATATTTGACTTACTCTTTTCTTTTCGTTAGTTATATTCCCAAAGTAGATTTTGCGCGTATGCTTTGTGAACTAGCAGCAATGGTAAATCAAGTCGGCGTTGAATAGAATATTACTGTAATCGCTGTAGTCTTTTTTTTAATTAATGGCGTAGACAAACGTGAATGAGTATTTGTCAACGATATAGAAAAAAAGTCTGAAACACAAAATATAATTAAAAATTTTGTTCACGATTATTTTGTCTTTACATCTGTTCTCGTCGAATATGTCTTCTCTATCGTACAACACTCATTCACAATGAACAACGATGTTCTGTTTACCACTGTTAAAATTTTGTCGACTGACAAGAGAGAGAGATTAATCGAAAAAGACATGTTCGATTTTTTTTCTTTTTTTTCTTCTTTTTGTCTACGTACAATTCAATATGGAGCCTTTCACAAGTGCATCATGTTACAGGCATCCAACACTCTTACTAACAAAGCTGCCGTCGTTGTTCGCTTACTTATTCAAGGTCGATGTTCATCAAATATATATATATATGTTGTTCACACAAATCCATATGATAATCATAATTGTTGAGTAATCAAATAGAAAAAAAAGCCGTAGAAAGGGCAACGTTCGATATATGCGAAAATATATTTTACAAAGAAAAAAAAAGTTGAACTTCAAGGTCGTACTACATAATCGAATTATAGATAATGAGTTTTTTTATAGACAAAAGGCAAAGATTTTTCTGTCTCTCTCAGTTCTATTGTGTAATTTTGATAGGAAAAGATAAATGACAGATATAATTATGTTTTATTGACAACACGTTCTTTATATACTGATATTCAAATATCTGCGATTCAGAAGAATAAATCTTGTAAGGTCAAACTGTGCAAAGAAAAAGCTTAGATTTGGTGTGTCATGTTCGATAAATGTTCTATCACGCAATCAAGGATAAAATAAAAATTTAGCCCTCGGGCAAACATTTTCGTCTTTAAAACTTAGTTCTACATAAAATAGTATCAAGAATTCATAAACTAATATTGACTGATTTTCTTAGTTATTTTACAGGCTCGTTTCTTCAATTAGTAATTCACCACACAATTTATATTATTTATTAGAACTATAAATAATGCTTCCTTTGTTTATTTAAAATTTGTCGTATGTTTTATGTCGTATGATAGTTTACGTCAATTTATTGATTAGCGACAAAAAGGAGGCCTTCTAAATAGAATATAAATATCAATTGAAAGAAACCATTGAATAGAATAATCTTAAATTTAAATAAAATCTCGTGTAAATAAATAGATGTTCGCTTTCAAGGAAAAGAAATCGTTTTTGGATCGACTGTTGACATGTGCGAAGAACATATTTCTTCTTGATAATGATGATATAGTAGTTTTCCCCCACAGCTAGTCTTCGATCCATCAAAGATAATTTATTCGTCGAGATATTACAACTTTTCTTATTGAAAAAGAAAAACGTATTATACACAGCGACTAAATGAGACAATTATAGCACTCAATATTTATCATCCATATCTGAAAATAAAGGCATTATAAGCTTTTTCTCTACTTCTTCTTCTTCTTCTTCTTCTTCTTCTTCTTCTTCTTCTTCTTCTTGTCCTCTAGGTCACCAAGAAACATTGATGTCTTGACATAGTTTAGCATAGCAGAATAGCTTGCTACAATAATAACAACATACAAACTGCTTATGTTTTGCTTATATCATACATGAAACATTGACGATAAAAAGCCACAAGCATTTACGGTATAACAAACAATGAGATAATGTTTCTTCTTGGATTACTATTGTCCTCTTTTAATCTAGCATATAGTTTACATTGTACAGACAATTGTTCAATGATTTATCCAATGAATGAACTATTTATTATGCCACCCAATTGCAGTTATGTATCAGCCAATCATTGTTCAGTTAAACTTATATTTTGGTATGATCGTGGAAATTATAATGTTACATTTATTGCTGAATCATCTTATGATAATCATATTGATGATAATAAACATTTTGTTATGATTGAAGTGACTGGAAATAAATTTTTTTCCTACGATATTCATCACATATGTAAAGAAACAGATGATTGTGCTCGTAGTTTTGCTGAAGAAAAAATTATTCAAATGACTAAACGCTCGTATAATGTAACGAATATTTATTCCGATTTACGACGATTAATACATCAAAAATCTACTTTATCGAGCGACTTAGCATGTTTTGATATAAATGATGGTGTTCGTCAATGTACTGTACCGGGAACGTCTGGTTCTTGTCAGATTGTCGATGATTTAATCAAACATAAATTTCATAAACGTTTATGCCTTCATAGTACTCAGCAATCTACTAGTCTTAACATTTTCGATACCGGTAGCGTTGCAATGATGACTGTCAGATGTAACCGTATGCTATGCAATGGACCATTGACAATAGCTGCTGTGAAAAAGATACTGCAACATCATAATATTACTGATATTAATGATAGACTATTGGGAAGCAGTGCAAAAATGCTATTGTCTCGTTATTTATTGGCTTTGACTATGTTCGTATTTTTTTTTTGAATTTCATAGGAAACGATATTTAAAAAAAAATGATATCTACGATTATTTTTTTTTAATAGATAAATTACTCGGGGATATTTCTTTCAACCGTTTGTTTAATCAGTTAAAAAAAAAAATAATTAAAATCAAAACTATAACGATTGATACAGGAATGATAATTATTCTTGCCAACATTTGTCACAATAACTCGAGTGCTGATTTGTTTTCAATATTTACGTCAAAAAGCTATGCGAAACAAAATGTAGCAATGGAAGCGATGCGATATTTAGCCATTTCGCCTTTGAGTTTCCAATCTTTCACGCATATGAGAATGCAGTTATAGGTTGGAGTATCTTTGTAAAATAGAGTCAATATGGGCTATAACTTACTGAAAGAAAAATCCATGCGTGAAAAATAATAATTAAGACGAACTGTATTTTACTATTTCTATAAGTTACATCCGATGGAAATATTTCTTCGGCTGCAGATACCACTGATATATAATATACTATTTACCATACTTTGTATCTTAGTATGAATATACAAAAAATGTAAATTATTGTACATTGATGAGCTATAATTAGGAAGTGTTTTCATCGACGTTTTTAAAATATGGACTTTACAATTATGTGAGTTCTCATTATTTTTGTATTCCGCTAGAAACAAAAAATATTTTTCTTACAATACTGAGAGATGAATTTCGCGATGAACATGATATTTTATATTTCTCATCATCAATACTTACTAGTCATATAAGCAACTGAGGAGAATTTATTAGAAAAAATATACTTTCAAATAAAATATAAATGTTATTGTGTTTATTGAACTTTTATTTGTGGTTGATGCTGCCTGCCAATCAATCGTAAATTAGTGACTAAACCAGATTCTTTGTTGCGTATTAGCCCTTCTACAGTAATCTCAATTATTCCTGAATTATTTTGTTCGGAATCGAGTTGACGTAAATCTTCGATTACGCGTTGAGTGCCATAGTACGCGTGTCGCACAATATCCTCTTTGAATCCATGACCTAATGTAACGCATTCCATATCGTTGACGAATATAGTGTGACCTTGATCGAGAGCAAAGTTATAAACTTCTTTACAAGAAATTTCAGTAGGCGCAGAGACAAGTGAACAAGGCATAATCCATCGTTGATGGAGACGAATCGGATGCCAAGCAGTAATAATAAGACCATTATCAATCTAGAAAATCCAATCAAAATAAAGAGCTAGCGAATTTATATTAGTTTCTTCATTGGAAAATTAAATCGCAAATCGATTAGTACAATACTTACTACAACCATTTTTGCTTTTTCATTTTGACACTTTGTTTTAACAACATAATTGACCATTCCTCCATGAGGTGCCATTCTATCACCTGGTTTAACATTTTTGATTAATTTACTGGTTCCATTCATTAAACGCACTTTGCATTCGCCATGAAAACATCCGCCAGCGGCATTGTGAAAGACCGTCATGTTTATGGCAGCACCAGTTTGTTTTGAACGTTTTGGAGCCGGCAAAGAACAGAATATAGTGTCCATTTCATCGCGTATCTTGGAAAAAACTGTACCGCGTCCATAGTGTTGAACACCAGGATCTTTAAAATTGTTACAATATTGAAGAAGATGTGCGCCTAGAAAGAAAGAAATTATCGATAAATAATCTTCCGAAATGTTGAAATAAAAATAGTTTCTGATTGTTTTCATCAACTTACGAGTTAAACTAGGTAAAAAGTGTACACCCCATTTCTTAAACCAATCCTTCTTCCCGAGAGCCTCTTGTACTTGTCCTGTTAAATCTGCTAATAAATCTTTGACAAATGCATCACTTCCATTTGTATAATTTCTCATGTCTTGCTCTAATTGTTTGATATAATTCATCGCTATTACAAAATCTTGATTTGCTTCGCGGCGCATTGCTTCTGAAGCAGTTCGTACACAATGAACGAATTGAAGTCTAAATTTTTGCTGAGTAAGACGACGAAGATCATCTTCTTCTTGAGGATTTACATTCATATTGATTCTTATGGAATCCTTTTTCTTTTGTAACGTATCGTAGATAACAAAAAATTCGTATTTCGAAAATAACTCAGAAGAAATAGGGATGAGTAAATCTTTGCTTTGCCCACATGTTATCGAGCCCAAATTAAACACTGTAGCTTGATCAGCAGTTGTTGTTGAATACCAACGTGTATAATCAGATGATTCAATTTGTGGGCCATGAACGTGTATCTACAATTAGATGAATCAAACATTTTTGACTTCCATTGATATTATAATCTGATGAAATAGGATAGAAAAAAAAATGTTAGTGCGCTGAGTAGAATTTTGAACCGTATCTCACATAGACTGTGATTTCTATACGAACAATTTATCATAAAATATGAATTATATTTATGCTGTAATTCATGTCATAGTCTTGCATGTATTACATGAAGAAAATTTTTCTTTTGACTAGTGTCTGAGAAAGCTACATGAATATTTTCTACGCTATTGGTAAGCCAAGAAAATCTTTAGTCTCAAAAAACAGATTCGATTAATAAGAATGTTAATAATTACCTGCACATTTGTAGCCACTGTCGCCAATAATGTAGTCATAGCATTAACAAAAATTGTTCCTACAAATGATCCATCAGGAATAAATGCATATGAGCCTGAATTTCCTAACATGGCAATTTCTTCAAGAAGTTTACTGTCCAAATCATAACCGAAACCAAACGTACTAATTGTACATGTAAAATTAGTTTTGTGCTTGAATTTTTCAAGTGTTGGTAAATGACCACGCAGGGGCTCAACATTAGGACAGCCGTCAGTCAGAAGAAAGAGAGCCGCATTACTTCCAATAGCTCTTTGACCTTTCGATAAAACTTCAAGGCCAGTCTGCATACCACTCCATAAATTAGTGTCACCATCGCTCTAAATACAAATTATAATAAAAAACTACAGTTATCAAATGGTTTTGAGATAGAATGGATATTTTGATGTCGAAAATCATTTTCAAGAGAAATGTATGTTTCGTTCAATTGAGATTGTAGTCTTCAATTTGATTATGAAATAGTAAATTTCAGTGTTTGATATTTTTCTAACTCTTTCTAAATGAATTACAGAGGTTTTTTTAAGAGTCACTTACTGTTAATCTTGCCAAAGCAGCTAAAGCACTTGATTTGCCATCTGCAGTCATATTTGTTAATTGAAAGAGGATTTTAGCACTATGCGAAAACGATACAAGCGATAAACGATCTTGTGGTTGAAGCGATTGTACAACTGTTTTTATCGCATGCTTAACTAGATCTAATCGGGATAGACCAAACTTTTCATTAGCATCATTTTGGATTTCACTTGCCGTAGCCATTGAACCTGATATATCGACTACACAGCAAATATCGCACGGGGAACGGTTTACATCTAGGTTTTGTTCCTCGAGTAGGCGGCTGCTGGCTAAACGTTTTTTTGTTGTACATCTTTTTACCAAATCAGCTGTATATTTTCGGATGGACTTCGGCCATCCGGTCGACTCAGCAGTTAAATCACCGTTTGCCTGTAATGGTGGCTGAATTGAAATATGAACAAAGCCGTCAATATAATTTCCAGAGGCTGTAAATTCATAGGATGTCAAGTTATTCAATGGTGCAGCAGTTAATTGATCATTAGATTGTATTGAACGACGATATTCATCTATGGCTGTTTTAAGTGCACGATTCGGACGGAGATCAGATGCTAAGAGAGGAACACGAGTAATTGGCGATGTACCATTTCGTTGAAGCCAATCTTCAATAGCACCTCGTTCATAGCTGTTACCATCGCCATCGATGACTGGATCAACCATAAGTTCATGAGTGATTGGACAAATAAAGGTTTCTGATGGCTCGCACATTATACGTTCTGCTCGTTCTTCAGTAAATTGACGTTTACCTTGAGTCTACAAGAAGTTTTTTTAATATCAGTTGTCAATTATGAATCGTGTGTTTAAACTAAATCTATTCATTTCTCACAGATTGTGAAATATTGGGGGAGACGCTGAAGAACACACGAGAAAGTGATTTCGCTAAAATGGTATTTTTCCTTATCATTAACGATTGAAGGTAGTGATTCAAAGTATGTCATTGATGGATGTATAAACGAAATATAAAGACGTCATGACATTTCGTTTCTTTTCTCATCAAGAGAATACAACAAGAATAAGTTGTTGAAAGAGAATACAAAATCGGTGGTAGCCTGTGTCATTGAATAAATAAGAACGTCATTAAGAAAATATTTTGTTGAAAAAGATGACGCATAAAGTATGTTGATGAAAAAAAGAATTTTATGAAACTTTTTTAAGAATTTTGAGACCAGGTGCCCGTTCAGCGAAAATTCAATACAGCGAAACTATTGAGACGAACATAGAGAGTGTTGCCTATAGCGGTCAGCATGATGGTGTATGTGTCATCTGTACATCTCTAGTCGTGCATTTCCTTTGGCTACATTCCCTTATATACGAGAGAGTGATCACGCTTGGATTGATATAGACAAAGAATTAACGGTCACGCAATAGAACAATGAGAATTCATCAGGCCAATGCACGAACATAAGGATACAGCGAAGAGGATAGTGTATATGAAGTGAGTCCGTAACGGTAAAAATCATTACAAGTATAAAATAGCAAAAAATAACATTGCAAAAGATCTTTCAGCGAATGTTTTTCCTATTTTGAAGGTGTGCACATGTACAGGTATGAATGCAACAATCTCAATACAGTATCGGTTGGTTTCGGCATTGGTATTGAGAGTAGACCAATAGAGATAGAGTATACTTCTGCATGTCCAAAAAAGCATCAAAATTTTGAAAATGTGGTGAACTAGTTTGATTCCTCAATTTATTTGGAAATAAACCTCTTCCCCTAGAAAATTTTGCTGATGTGCAACTTTCCCGGTTTATCGTTTTTATAATATATTGATGTGATAAAATAAGCACACAGTCGGTATGACTTATACAATTGCGGCTGGTTAATGACCTGATTAACCTCTTCTACGTATTATATTGTATGTAATGATAAAAAAATAGTATCCATATGACTTTTTTCTTTGATATCTCTAGTTTCTCCTTTTATTTCTTAAACTTTCCCGATATCTTGAAATGTAACGTTGCTGCTGTCTCTTTCAAACACTTCAAATATGTTCACTTCAAAAATATGCATCTCCGTTGAATTGGAATTTGTGACTAGAAAATCTAATGATGAATATAGAGCTCAATATACTGCTTAACGTCTTTAGATCATCTTTGCTGTTTTTTTCACAAAAACCATGAAACCAAGTTTTAAGCTCCCCTAAGTTGCATAACGAAAAAATTCTTAAACATAATATCTTTATTGAATTGATCAAACGAAAAGACAAAACAAAATTACCCAGGTCGAACATTCCGGCCACCGGATCTCGTAGGATACTCCAGGGAATATGCGGGAAAGTCACCATATCCTGCAGGAAAACACGGGAAATCGCTGGAACATGGAAGCAGTATTCCGGTCAAAAATACGGTCGGACTTTTCCGGCGAATTCCTGTCAAGTTCCGGTGCTTTCCGGCAGGAATTGATCGGAAATCACCGGAAAAAATCCGAAAAATTTCCAACCTGAATACTGCTTCCACAAAATCAACGGAACTACCCGGAACCGGCGGTTTCCAGGCCGGACTGTTCGACCTGGGTATAAGTAGTTAAATAAATTCAATATATGCCGCAATAGGACTTAAAATAATAAATAAAGAATATAAAGTTCCTTTATATATTGTTTTTTCCGCGTCTTTCCTGTCAGTTCCTACGAGACCTCCGAAATCATTGACCTGAGCAAGTCTGATCTTTCTTTTTATCTTTTCGGAGATTATCGAAAAAAATGTAAGTTTTTATTGATGGCTGTATCGACCTCGTCGTCATTGTTCTCGCTGATTATATCAAATTTATATAATCGTACAATCATATATTGCTGATCGGCATAATCATGTCTATCATTCTGATCACCGAAAACAGCATCTTGTGTGACCTAAAATATACATATTAACCAGAAAATACTTGCATTCATTTTCATATTATTCCGCCGTAATGTGTTGTAAAATCAAAGAAGATCTTTTTCTCATTAAAAAAAGACTATATCGTTTTCTTGAAAGTGGGTAGCACGAGAGTAAACGAATTACAGAAGACAACAATATTATTATTCATCGTATTAAATATTGATTTCTTGTTTGAATGGAAGGACCCCTCGCTTTTAAGATTTACAGCTTCTTTCTAACGATATTAAAAACAGACACAATAAGCAAAAATTTCTGAAGAGATAAGTACACTTACATTGTACATGAGGATGCAGCGTCTTCATACATTTTTGACCGTTAAACTTTGTGCTCACTTGTTGAAATACAGATTGCAAGTTTCCACTGTTGATTTCGTCGATATTGATCAGTAATTTCTCATCTTCAATCGTTTTCAATAAGTTGTATCTTTCGTCATTTATAAATTGCCTTTTGAATTATTTCATCTCCAACTATATTGATTATCACAAGAAAAATGGGTATCCTTAGTATTTCGATAATATCTGCCTTGATTTATATTTGTTTGGGTCTAATTTAAAGAAATGTATCCGTTATTTTATTCTCTAAAACAATCTATACTGTAGATCTATTTCATTCTGAAACGTATATATATATGCATATAAATATATTGTCATGTTATGAAACAAAAAGTGACGATCTTCAAAAAATAGTATTTGTTATTAAGTATATAAAAGATGGTGATGGACCCACTAAGATACTTCGTGGTTTAAACGACTCCTGAGGAATAACATACTAAGAAAAGATTATGCAAGATGATATATTGTAAGACGGGCTCTCCCTACCGATAAATATCAACGATGATTCACATGTTTTTCGAAACAGTAAAAGGATACCAAATATAAACTAAAAGAGAGAAGTTTGACTAAAGAATACGGCATCTCGATGCAAATCACGTGGTCGTCGCAGATTAGAAAAATATGACATCAAAATTCACACCCGAAAGGTAATAAGCGTACAAAAACTCGTGGACAAATACAAACACAAACACAAACGAAGATGAAAAAATCAGAAAAATATAAGTCTTTAATATTTTCACAAAAGAAGACGCGTTACGAATATTACAATCTTGACTTGTAAGAGAGATCATTGGTAATTTTAATCTCTTTTTGAAAATGCTTTTTTTATTTCTTCTCATATTTACTAATTTACTTTTATTTGATGACGTTTTGTCAACGATGTTGACTTTATCAGAGAATTTATTTGTAAAATGTTGCGAAAGGACAACATAAGGCAAATGTATTTTAACACACATTGTATTTCTTATTTTATAGTGAAATGAACAAGACAGTGATACTGAACGAACTAGTTATTCTTTTTCAGATTTGTCTTCGTTCGTACCATTATCAAATATAAGCACAACGACTGTTGAATATATATTTGTTATTTTATTCTCCATGTTATTTTACAAATAAATTCACTGATGAAGTCAATATCGATGACGAAACGGAATTCAAAGTAAATTGCCAAAATTATGAAGAGTAAAAAACATTTCAAATAAATATTCAAAACAAAATATTTTTAGATGATATAATGTTCGATAACAATCGTATGATATGTACAACTCTCAAACCCAGCTTATTTTAGTCGAGAGGTCGTGTGTTTAAGTGAATGAAAGATGCGGTCTAAAAATGAAACAAAATTCCCTCAAATGGCCATGATCTGACTAAATGTCTACTTCAAAGACGTGACATTTTTGATCAAGTTCGATCAAAACACACGAGATCGTGCTGGATATATCTAGAATGCTCTTCCAATGTCGCTGAAAATATAAAAACGAGACTTTTGGAGTACATCGAACATTTCAACAAGACTGGCGCAAAAACTATAATATTCAGCATTAAACAACAAAAATGAAGTCCGGGCAACTTTCTATCGTTCGCATGATAAAGCTCATTGATCAATAAGCATTCCATATCTAAATCCATTGGACTATTATTTTTGGAAATGAATTTAGATAATTTATTCACCGGGGGAAAGTAACATCGAAAGACACACTTATCGATATATTGAAAAGTTGTGTCGCAGAAATTTCGACAAGATGGTGTTTTGAGACAATTGTTTATTTCTGTAATGTTCGTTAAAACTATATCTGTTTTTAGAAACCGACGGATGCTATTTCCATAAATAAAAATTTTGGCATTTTGTAGAGCATCTCTAGGTGAATCGTTAAAAAAAATATAAGCCTGAAAAATGAGAATTAACAAAGCTATAAGCTAAATACTGAAAGGTTCATTGTTCCTCAGATACCTCTGTAAAGTTAGCATGCTTTGAGAATTCAAATAGTTTCACGGGTTTCTTTCTAAAATAATAAGATCTATTGATGTTAACTTATTGATTAGATATATTGATTTTAAATACGGCAAATATATCATGCATCATCAAATACAAAGCATCAATTATTTTCTAATGTGATTTTTGCGTAATTAGACATAATTTCAAGAATAGAAGCCAAAAAATATTTGTGCAGATGGAAAATAAAATTATTGAGATGAAGTTGCTACAACCTGTTTTCCGATTTTTATGAATACATTCTGTTCTCCTACAAACAGTGCTTCAAAAACAAGCATATCCTAGCAAGTTTGCCGTATGTAAGCTTCGAGATAATTAAAACAAAAACAAGTTAGACACCGTTCTATCTGCTCATATTTAGTACAGTTGTCACTACAACTGATGATAGATAATGAATTGTTCAATCGAAATCATTCTTTGACACATATATTAATAGATCTCGATCGAGTTTTCTTGGTAATGAATTTTATCATTGCTATTTTGTCAATTGCATTTTAACTTCAGTCAGTTGATAAGTTGAGGTAAGATTTTTCAAGTTTAACAAAGCTATAGAAGACTGACAATGTTAACTAGATGAGCCGTATTTTCCCACAAAAATCTTTTTTAAGATGAATTATATAGAACTTTCTCTATTTTATTTGAGGGTTTCATGGTTTTGAGTAATTCAAAATTCGCACTGTGCCGACAACGTGCTCTTCAAAAACTCTCCGTGGTAGAGGCGGCGGAGTCTGTAGGCTCACGAGACTTGAGTCTACCCTAGCTTAGAAAAGGATAGGCTTAATTATATCTGTCTTTCATTATTGTTTAGTTTTCGCGTATGGTTGACAGTGACAGTAACAGATGACGGGTTGTTACAAAGATAGTTCATATTTTCTTTATCACCAATACCAACTCGAATTTAATAAAGGTATCCATTGGATTTTAATATAAAATTTAAATCTACCAAGAAATCAACATTGAAAAAAAAGTACCGGAAATCAGGGTGGCAAGATCAAAAATTGAAAAATCAGAAATCGAGCAGCAGTTCTTTCTGAAAAATCAAAAATGAATCAGAAATAGCAACATTTTGCAAATTAGTGAGTCATATGCTAAAATGTGGGCATCGAAAGCTCTGCTGTGTTTGTGTTTATCGATTTAAACATTATTTTCAAAGATGTTTCACTAAAAACAAAGACGATATAGTAAATATATCGTATAGATAATATAAAAACATCGACAAAAATACTAAATGTTGAACTTTTTTAAAGTCAAAATTCGTTCACAAAAACGAACAAAAAGAACAATCACATATGTTGTGCGTAGATTAAGAAATTCAACGAAAAAAAGTGTTATGTGCCATTATCTCGGTATTATTCATATTTTGTATCTTTTCTAATTCGTTCTAACAAGTTTGTTTAAGATAACGTATGCTAATAAAAACCTTCTCAAGAATAACTGCCAATCATTTTTATTTTAAGTTAAGCCTTATCTTAGTTCTACAATGACTAGGGGTGTTACTTTATATTTACTTTACTTTTTATAGATAAATAAAACCTTTATATTAAAAAATAAAGATAAAATAAAGAATAAAGAAAAATATTTTCCCTTAAAAACCCAAAATTTGATCTTCTCCCGATAGCTCGAAGAAAATTAAGAAGTTCAAGGCTATCAAATTTTGAACACTAGATTTTTTCCATAAATGATTTATGCCTCACCATCATTTGCTAGTATTATTTCATACTGCAATGTCAGTGATGATAAGTAAGAACTGCAATCAATGTTCTCTGTTGTTATACAAATTATTCATCTATTTACCAGTGACTGTAGAAAATCTTTCTTTTTTCTTTATTTTAACTTTATTTTTACAAATAAAGATTTCATTTATCTTTATATTATAAATATAAAGGTTTTTTTATCTTTATTCTTTAATATAAAGATCAATAAAGATAAAGTAACACCCCTAACAATGATCGGATTACGATAATCTGCCTATAAATGCTGTATACTACTGAATATCGATTCAGCGTCAGAATCCGAACGAGGAATAGAAAAGTTGATTAATAGAGAAGAACGATGAAACACTATCAATCTATTATAGTAATGGGTTATAATCGTACCTAATTTCAGTGACAAAGCAGCGATCTGAAAATGTAGCAAATTCAGAAAAAAATCAAAAGGTCAGAAAAATCAGAAGCATGTTCAAAATTCAGAAATTTTCCTTATTTTTCAGAAGATCTGGCCACCCTGACGGAAGCAGGGGCGTAAGTCAGGTCTCAGAGCAAGGGGCGGGGGGCGTAATTCTAATTTTTCTGTTTTCATGATCTAAAAAATAAATCTTTTGGAAGCAGGGGGGCGTTACGCCTAGAGGTGTCAACCGAAGGGTTGAACGGCGGCGGCGGGCAACAATTTTCAATTTTTAGAGATTTCCAGCGGCTCGTTATTTGAATGAGTCATGTCTTCAGCGGCAGCTGTTACAAATTCTTAATTTTTTTCCACAGCGGCGGCGCCGGTTGATATTTGCAAGTCCTTATGTGACGGCGGCGACTGAGTTAAAAATTCGCTGATGAAAATTAAAAGAAAAATGTTCGATTCGATCGCATATGTATTGATGTCAGCGGCGGTGGATGACGCTACCAAAAATTTTTATCTCTTGCAGCGGCGCAACGGCTAAACTTGTTTTTTCGCAGCGACGGCTCCCCAAAATTTCTTAAAATTACCAGCAATTTGGTGGCGGCTGATATTATAGAAAACTCGGCTGCTGCAGCGGCTCAGTCGCACGGCTGACACCTCTAGTTACGCCCCACCCCCTATTTACGCTCCTGGACGGAAGTCGATTAGGGATTCGGCTCCCTATCTCGTTTATCTAGAAAAGTGAGCCTACTCTAGAGAGAAATCGTTCCGCCGCCTATGCTCCGGGGTGATATGAGATCGGTTCCTCATTTCACGACATGAATAAAGACTTATGGGGGAAATTATTTTTTCCAAGGAAAACACTTAGGAGAAGATTATTTTTTCAGACGATAATATTTATTTATAGAAGGTATACTACCTGTGTATTATTAATTTTTTTAATATTTCATTCGACGCCATGGCACATAGTTCAGGCGTAAATAGAAATCGGCTAAGAGAATTCGAGGTTGGTACATATCGAGAACTTCTGGCGCGAAGTGTTCGAGGCGATGGCTTGGATATTCATCATGTCCTACAAAAGCAAATTGGTCTGGATCTCATCCCAGGTTACTCGGAAGTGAACGGGATTTGCATAGCAATACGAGCAAGTGAACATCGAAAAATTCCGACCCTGAGATCGAGCGAGATAGCACAAAAGTATCGCAATCAAACTGCACGGCAAATCTTGGCTGACGATATATGGCGCAATCGAAAATCCGGTGTTATTCCATCGTCTGTCGTGCTTCAAGCACTTCGAGCCCATCTCGAATTGTATCCACATGTTTACGAAAAGCCTGGTGGTAGTGATGGCGTGAGAATTGATGCTCGGTCTGTGTTAACAAGTTTACAGCAAGCAGCAACCAATGAAATAACACAGGAGGCTGCTCGGCAAGCTTCGAAACGAGTAGCCGAGTATAAAAAAATACTGCACGATAAAGCGCAAGCATGTCTTAGTACTGGTAATCGGCTTAGTCGCTTACCGGCCAATGTGCAGCAACTACTTCGGAACAATGGAAAAGCGAACTCCTCTACTAATTCTTCTGAAAGCAGTTATGATTCAATGCTAGGAACTTACATCATTCATCAAGAATATGATCCAGTATTGGGTTGTAATTTAACTCTCACAGTTCGCATTGAATATGTTCGATCCGAAACACGAGAAGAAGTAAGAGGTCGAACAAAAACTGTTATTACTACACGGTACTATAGGTCTATTCTTGAGTGGAAATGATTTATGTTGACGAATAACTATTAAATAGCCGCGAAGACTAACATATATATATATATATATATATATATATATATATTGAAAAGACATACTGCGAAATCTTTCTTTTAATGTTCCAAATAAAATGAAAACTAATTTAACTTTTCATTTCTGAAACTGCCAAAGCTCATACACATCAATCTAGCTCGAAATGTTCAACACAATCATACAAATGACAAGTCTATGAGATAGTTAAAAAGCAGAAGAGTGTAATTCTCGTATTTCCTAAAGTTGGATATAACATTCTGCTATCATCCTTCTTCTAGAAAAGCTTCAAAGTTGTACGAATGCATAAATCGTCATGAACTTGGTCAAATCAGGTAGATCTTGATTTTGAAAGTGAGCTCACACAAAGATAGGTAAAAAGTTGAATCAAGGATGTAAACATACTGTTGTCAGGGACTGGGAACGAGGTCACACAGCAAATGTAGGGTGATATTTTTGTTAACTTTTGATAGGTTTTTTCCAAGTTGGAAAGAATCAGGTGAAACGTACGCCGGTATGCTGCAGCAGTTTTTGACAACCACATGGAAGATAATACTCAGGATTTGGTTGTAAAGAATTATCAATCAATGCTAAATCTCAGGCTTGATAAAATGTTATGACATTTAAATTTATGAATGAGAATCAGTAGAATCACATGAACTCTAAAAAAAGATGATGTTACTATTTCGTAACCATATTTACGTGATACTTCCAAAATTTTACTACTGGTAAAATGCTAGGTAGTATTATCTTGCTTAATACTCTCGCCCTTACATTAGGTGTCGCAGATGTTTTCAATGAAGTATTTTTAACAAGTTATTAAAAATACAAATAAATTACTTCGAAAATAAATTAAACTTATCAAAAAGATACATACATGTTCTTCTGTATTCACAAAGACAATTACTGAGCCAAGAAAATAATTTATTTTAAACATTTCTACAAAAGCAATGAAACTGTAGAAGAAAATATGCTATAATATCAAGTAATACGAACAATCACTCTTTCAGAACATATTTCATGTTAGAATATGTATGTAATAAAAGCATCACGCATTGTGTAAAATCTCAATAAGATCATTTAAACAACTTTTGATTTCACGTAGATCTTCAAGACGTGATAATCGATGATCACCATCATGTACTAGACGAATTTGTATTGCTCCTTGTCTATCAGTTCGTAAACGACTTACAAAATCAATAACACGTTGATAAGGCACATCTGAATCAAACATACCATGCATGAAAATCAGTGAACATTGAGTGCATCCCAACTGAATTGCATCACATTCAATCGGTAATAGATATTCTTTTGAATCAATTAACATTGAAACAGGTATGTCATAAAAGCCAGTAGATGAGTAAGAACTAGGTCGATGATATATATAGTTGCGATTTGAACGATTTTCTATCGGTTGAATTTCATTTAACCATACTTCAGTGCCATTGACACTCATGCCTAATGCAAGAATACCACGAATACGAGAACGTAATGAGATATCAACTTCTTTTCGAATGAGAACTAAAAGTGCAAGCCATGCACCTAAACTAGCGCCAACTAAAATGACGTTATCGTTGCCAGTCTTTTCGTAAAGAACCGATAGAAGATGATGAAACCATGTTCCAACACATGAATGAACGGATGTAAAATCGTGATTGAAGGCAATGAAACGACAATGATGTTCAATAGACCATGTTTGAAGAAACTTTGATTTTGTCGAAGGTACAACAGATTGATAACCAGGGATGAAAACGATTACAGTTGGCATCGATATGAATTTATTTGCAGGTATTCATTCTATTGAATCAATAACTGCACTTCGCCATAATAAAGTATATTTTGAAAATTTTCTTCCAGTCTCATTCTATATAGAGAACGCCAGTAGACAGATCTGCAAAATAGTTGCATGCATCTCTTTCTAAAAGTAATAAAATCTAATGATTTTAACTTATTTATTAGACACGTTGACGTTAAATTAGATAAATATATTTATCTAAGCTCGTAAGAAAAAATTTACAATAAAAAGTATCTAATATTCTCAAGTCTCTATTTCACAAGCAGACTAATAAGAGTGGGATTAGCGCCAATAATTGCAGAAATTGATAGTTGAGCAGATCAATGTCATTCAGCATACTTAATTGTCTCGTTATTAAAACAGAAATACTATCATAGAAAACTTGGTTATCATGACAATAAATACATATTTAAATATAATTATATCTATAAAATAAATAATCTTTAGCAACTTATCTTCTATCATATTGCACAATGTTTTGCAAGTTTAAGATTCCGGTTTACCTTCGACTCTCTTCGATTTTAATATTTATCGAGAAAGTAAACAACAGTTCAGTGTGACTACGATTCAGTTAGAATTGCATCTATCAACTGAACATATTTCGAAAGATAACAAAATATTTGACTATCGTTACTGTAGACTCTCATGTATATCGGAAAATTTCTGAGCTCACTAATTTATTCCAGAAGTGTAAATTCTTTGCATAATTTTCATTGCCGGAGTTGTTGCTAATAAACGATGATCATTATTAAAACACAGCATCATTAAAGATTCATTACCCAAAGGAATTATTTTTGTATACAGTTGCCAATCAATAGAGATGATCATATCAACGAGTCCGTTTTCTGATTTCTGTTTGCTACACTTTTTTTAGATGTTTCTGTTATCTATGCTTTCATTTTTACTGAAAGAAAAATTGTGCTATATACCTACATTAATCGAACCATTATACGTATCAAGCATTCTAACATCATGACACCATGTCACTTTATTCACGCATTATATTCACAATACAATAGATCAACCAAATGGCTACTTACAAATAATCGACTAACTGTCGACGGAGTTTTTTTTTGCTTCTTACACGATTATACATCAAGTGTGGCCGATAGTAAATTATTGTTACATAAATAGCAGCTATATACACAAAGAGTCATGCATTTCGTATCATCGCATCGATCAAAAATTCAAATAGCTAGAACATTTTCAAGTTTTTCTTTTTGTACAAATTGCTCGGCATACTTCACTATTCGTTAATTTGAATCGAAATCCTAACAATAATCGCTATCTCGATATGTTTTAGGTCACACACACAATGTTGAACACTCATATTTCATCGGCAAACAATAGTAAATATATGAAACATACATAACCCACAGCTAGTACCTTGTAGCTCATCATTTGATAACGCAAGTAAAAAGTCAATTTCTCTACTTGTTAATACTCATGATTTTCTTCTATATCAAATTTTGAAAAAAAAACGAAAGTATCGTATAGTTTTTACCCAGATGATATTCTTAGAATGCATCAAGTGTTTCACTTTTTCTGTTTAATAATTAAATCTAGATCTTTGCATGTATTATATTACAAATTATTTTATTATACAAAAAGCCTATCATAGAGCTTATTAAGTTATGCAATCTCTCCTGTTCGATCGATCTTTTCAAATCGAATTCGTGTGCATCTAATTGTCTGAAATTTAGTCCTTCGCTCAGCTTTCTTTTTCTGATGAATTTATTCAACTGTGTGTATAAACGTTATCAGTTTTCAAAAATATTTCTGTAATGCCAACGTTATCATTTTGTATGTTGTTTATGTCATTGTTTTTCTCCTCCATCCGACATGCCTTGTTCGCGCCATCACACTATTTTACCGCCATTTCTTCGTGGCACGTACCATTGATATGAGACCAGTTGTTTGTAATAGATAGATATGCATATATGTACAGTTTACGTTCATCTATTTTTCTTGTTCTTCCTTCGGGTCATTTGAGAAATAGGAAGAAAAAGAACGATCGCACTAGTGTATGTTGTCTGTGTGAACAGTTGACTCTCGTCTATTTCGTCGACCGTCTTGTTCACTCGCTCCTTTTCTTTCTCCATAGGGACAAGCACACTGAAGAAAAAAAAAAGAAAAAGCACGAGGAAGAGAATTGCTGACCTACGCGTTACACATGTGCATCTATTGTATTTTAACGCATTGCCATTGTAGACAACTCATTTTCTTTTTTTCAGATAGATAATAAGAAGTATGCTCTACGATTTAGTATGTAGATTAATTAAATCTTGATTATCAAATTAAAACAATTCTTTTTCTTCTTAATATAGATTGGTGTTTATGGAAAAGTTGGTCAAAGTGGCCGAAATGTAAGTAATCCACTAAAAATAAATAATTGATAGATTTATTCACTTCTGTTCTGTAGGATGATGATGTCTACGATCGATATAGTCATCGTTGGACAGTCATTTTACTGGGCGTCTTTATTATTGCTATAAGCGCTAAACAATTTGTTGGTATGTTTCAATATTTCAATGGCTTTTTATTTTGAAATATTTAATTTATAGGCACGCCCATTGAATGCATTCCACCATCTGACTTCGCAGGAAATCATAAAGCTTATGTAGAAAATTATTGCTGGACTCATTATACTTTTTCAAGTAAGTAAAATTCTATATTTATAATTGTTATCTTTAATTAGATTATCGTTGTTTTTTTTGCAGTTGATAATCAGAAGGCATTAACACGTCATTATGTTCGCGGCGGAGAAGATTCACAAAGGACATCTTATTATATATGGATTCCATATATATTAATTGCTGCTGCATTATGTACATATTTACCGGCTTGGCTGTGGCATGTTATTGGCCATAAAGCAACTTTTGATGTTCCTGCTATGATAAACCATTTAGGCAAAATGAAATTATCAAATCCTGAAGATCGTCGATCGAATTTAACAACAATGGCAAAACATTATGAAAAAGTAAACCAATATGCAACGGCGAAAGTTCGTGCAACGGATAATCTTGTCAAACGAGGTATATCTGCGTGTATGTTTTTTGCTGGCGGTGGATTGCTAACAGGTAAAAAGAATTTATTCATTGAGAGAATAATATGTATTTAATTTTGTTTCTTTTTACTCTATTAGGAATTTATTTCTTGATTAAATTCTTATATTTGTGTAATAGTATTGGACAATTTTTCTTAATGAATTATCTCCTTAAAATTGATTATTGGGCGTACGGTCAAAAAACTCTTCATGGTTTAATTATTGGAGCTGATGTGATAAAAAATAAAGAAGTTTTTCCACGTGTTGTCTTTTGTGATTTTACCATTCGATATTTAGGAGATAAGAATATAAACTATACAGTAAAATCAAAGCTATGTTTTGGTTATCTGCAATAATTTTAATTTTTCTGTTTTTTTTTAAACAGGTTCAATGTACACTGCCCGTTAATCTTTACAATGCACGCATATTCACATTTTATTGGTTTTGGTTAATATTTTTGACTTGTGCAACATTCTACGGTATTATTAAGTGGCTCGCACAAATGAGTTATCGTGGTCGTCGTAGTTTTTTGAAGAGACATTTACGTATCAATCGAGAATTAGCTATGACTCAACATGAACAACAATTATTCGATTCGTTTGTTGATCGATATCTTGGCGGTGATGGTGTTCTTTTTCTTCGCCTTGTCTCTAAAAATACAAATCCAGTTGTTGCTGGTTAGTAAACGAAAGAAATTTCGAATGAAACATATTTTGTTTGTTTTTTAGGTGAACTTTTGGGAATTATGTGGGATCGTTTTGTAGCACATGAAAGTGCTGTAGTGATAGTGGCAGCGATGGGAAATAATAACCAGAGTGGCAAAACGCTGGATTCTGATACATATTTAAATGGTAGTCGTTCAGGAAAATTTGATGATCGTACACTACCGTTGATTCAACCGTTAAAACAAGAATAAATGCTTAAAAACAAACTTACCTTTTCTTTATATTCTAGATATTAGTTGTCATTAGCATTTTCTTTTTCTGTCATTATTATTATACTAAGGTCAAAAGGTTTTCCTTATCTCGAATTTCTTGTTTGAAGAGATGAATGTGAACTCTACTCAGATATTAGCGTCATCTATATTGTGAAACTTTTTTTCATTTTTCTTTTTTTCTTCATAAGATTAGATTATAAAAAAAAGTGAGTGTCATTGTTGTTTTTTTGCCTGTACGATTATATCTTTGAAATAGTTCATTCGCTGATGGGGGTTTTCTGAATGAAATAGAATGATGGTTGATGTTTGTATATACGCAATTCATTTCTTTACAACTGTTTTTCAGATTATAGTCAAAAAAATATGACTCAACCGATATATGACCAAAGACAAGGTTTGATATTGACTGGAATTATAAGTTTGTTATTTATGATTTTAATTTAGGTGGTTTTCGCGTTTTTATTGGTAACTTAGGAGCACGCACAAATATTTCTGAACTTCAACATGAATGTGAACGTTATGGTCCATTAGTTGATTGTTGGGTAGCTCGGTAAGTAAAAACTTCTCTTGTGAACTTCTCAGCTTAAAAAGGTGCATTTTTTTTTGGATATGAAAAAATTTTTAACTTAAAAAAAGGATCGGAGGTATGTTATTAAAATATACAAAAAAAAACTAAAATTAGTCCGAGTCAATGAAATAATCAAATTTAATCGTCCATCTTTCAGTTGCTGCTAATGGTCTATGTCTGGTTTCACAAAAAAGCAGCATGATCACACACTTGTCAAATCGTCTATCATTACATAAGAATATCGTATTTTTGTGTTCTACCGCGCGTCGCAACAACCGCCCGCGCCAAATTTATGCACCCGTCGTCTTCCTACGACATATCATCTCTTCTCTTCTCATCTCATCTCATGCGCTCCTTCTCTCCTAAATCTTCCTTTCCTGCACCTACAGGCATCAAAACAACATCCTTCATCAGCAATTATTTATATTCACTTTTGATATGTCAGAAAAGAAAAAAAGCTACTAAATAGAAATATTTAGGTAAGTCATTCATGTGAGATTTCAATAAAAAAAAAAAAGATTGAGAACTATTAACAATGGATCATAGTTTTATATGAGTTTTGTGTTATCTCATTGTGTGGTTGTTTTTGTTTTGCTGTTCGGGGAAAGTTGGTTTATATTAATATTATTTTAGCAATCCACCAGGATTTGCCTTTGTACTTTACAAATATGGCGAAGATGCCGATACAGCAGTACGCAGTAAGTTTTTGTTATTGAATAAAAAATTTTCATGTTCTAAAATTTTGATTTGTTTAGATATGGATGGCCGGTATGTGAAACTATTAGTTTTCAATGCTTGTGTATGTTTATTTTTTTGAGTGTAGTGTCGTATGTGGCCAACGTGTTCGAGTAGAACATGCAAAAGCTCGTTCAGCAAATTATCGTGGTGGACCATCGTATGGTGGTTATCGAGGTGCAGAGTAAGTAGAAATTTTTTGAAGTGACTGCTTTTCAATGAATATTTATTATTTTTGTTAGTGATGATCATGATGGTCATGGAAATGGTCGAGATGATGATCGAAAGTAAGATTTTGTGAAATATATTTGTGTAGACAGTTCATTATTCTTGACTTTTTTAGACGTCCACGTCGTCGTTCACGTGATCGGTAAATTGAATTTGTTGATGAATAAATTTTCATATTATTTGTTTTGTTTCTATTTCTCTAGTCGTTCACGATCTCGTAGCAGTAGTCGAGAACGTTCAAAAAAAAAGTGCGTGAAAGATCTCGTTTTTTTTAAATGTCAGAATATTTTTTAAGGTCATCTCGTCGTCACCGTAGTAGAAGTGATTCGAGTCGTGAAAGTAGCCGTGATCGTTCATCTAGACGAAAGAATCGGTAGAATTTTCGAATTATAACAAAGCAGTTCTTTAAAAAAAATTTGTTTCATCTTTTTTAGAAGTCATTCACATGATCAAAGTGATTCTGATGATTCAAGCCGTGAACGAGATAAGAAACGATCTCGTGGTGGTTCGAGTGGTAAACGTCGTCGATCAAAATCAAAATCAAGCGAGAAAAAGAGTGGCCGTTCTAAACATCGTTCATCACGTTCCGAATCAAAAGATAATGCTAATGGTGATGAGCGAGCATCAAATCATTCAAAAGAAGGTTCATCATCACCAGCAAAACGTGAACGTCATAACAGCAGCGGCCATGAGAACGACGCTGAGAATGACAATAAAAGTGGTGACGAAAGTGAACGACGAGTAAGAATCAAAAGACTGGTGTATGACTTGTATTTTTCTAAAATGTGTACTTTTTTCTATTTATAGAGATTAGCTCGCCGTAAATCTAATGATGACGATAGCGATGGAAGTGATAACGAAAGTAATAGTAGTGAAAAGAAGAAGGCCACTCGTCGAAGTTCAGCCGACGAAGAAATGGATGACAAACCTGGAAATGAATCTGATCATTCAAATAATGATAGTGGTGATCAGAATTAGACGATTAAATCAGGACTTGAAAAATAAAAATAAAAATAAAAAGCTTTTGTGTTTGCTGTTCTCATTCGCACACTAGTGAAATAGTTTTTCTTACTATTGACATTAAAAAAGGTGTATACAAATTTTCTCTGTATGTGTAATGTGTGTTATTCTGTTCAGACTACCTTGTCCCTTTTTTTGTCTGTGTTCATTATCAATTTGACTTTTTTTTCTATGTATGCTTCGCTAAAAAAACTAAGCAAATGATGATTGTTTGAAATCAAAAAAAAGAAGAATTTTTTTTGTTTGTTTTCATCTGTAGATGACAACTACATTGGAAAGTTTTCAATCTTTATTTAATGGAAGTACAAAAAATAAAAGTTATCGAACAGATAGCGGAAAAGTTCATACAATAGATTGGAATGTTGATGGAAGTCGTCTAGCAAGTGGATCGTTAGATAAAAGTGTTGTCATATTTGCGTATGATGGAAAAGGTTCAATGGTAGGTAAGTGATGCAGATGATAGAGATACATATATATCCGCTCTGACAGAAAGCGGCTTTGCCAGTACAAGTTATGAAGAATTGTCGATTGATGAGCGACATAAGAAACCAAAAAATTTTAGGGAACAATGATGAATTAGAAAGATGTCAATATTCTTTGTAGTCTTATCTTCTGTATTGTTAGAATTCATGATATATGTATATTATTAACAGGTAAAAGATCGAACTTATCGAGAACACGGAGAAGAAATAAATCAACTTGCATGGCATCCATCTATTTCACATAATGTGGCAACAGCCAGTGGAGATCGTTTAGTTAAAATATTTGATACAAGAACAGATCGTTCGAGCACAACTATAGAAACAAAAGGTGAGAAATTTAAACTTTTCATTTTGATCTTATACATTGATTATATTCTATTAGGAGAAAATATCAATCTAGCTTGGTCACCTGATGGTACAACATTAGCTGTTGGTAATAAAGATGATCTTATCACATTTATCGATGTTAAAACTTCAAAGTAAATTTTTTTTTGTCAAAAAAAACATTTTATAAAGCAAGAAAAACGTTCTTGTCCATGTAGAATCATACGCGAAGAACAATTCCGCTATGAAGTCAATGAAATTTCGTGGGATCGAACTGGTAACCTTTTTGCTGTTACTACTGGCCATGGTTCAGTTGTGTTTTTCGAGTAAGTTAATACAGTCATATGAGATTTGCTGATCTGTTTTCTCTTCTCTCTATTCAGTGCACCCGGTATTCAAAAAGAAAAAGATAAACCTTTAGAAGAATTACATTGTTTAACAGCACATACAGGCAATTGTATCTGTCTAGAATTTGATACAACAGGAAAATATTTTGCTGTTGGTGCTGCTGATGCATCGGCATCAATATGGGATGTTTCTCAACTTGTTTGTCTTACTGTTCTTACAAGGTAGGCTTCAAATATGCGTACTAAAACAAAAATAATCAATATATTTTCATCTTCAGAATTGAATGGGCTGTACGTGGTCTTAGTTTTGGTTGTCAATCACAATTAATTGCATTAGCTTCAGAAGATCCTTATATAGAAATTGCTAAAGTCGATACTGGTATAACTATATACATTTTTGTTTTCCAAAGAAATTTTTTAAATGATGATCATGCATTTTAGGTGAACGTGTCCATGCTTTGAAATGTGATGTACAAACATTAGCAGTTGCATGGCATCCGAAAGCATCTGTCCTAGCTTATGTTCAAGATGATGACTCAGGGAGTGTACGTCTATTTGGTGTACTCGATTAAATGCTCATGTTGTTGTAATGTTATATATTTGTGTTGAGAAAGAATTTAAATACAAAAAATAAGTGTTTCTTAAAGTGTTCGTTGTTTTTCTATTCCATCCAATCTTCTTCAAGATGTTTAAGCCAACGAAACATTAATTTGAATGCTTTTTCACGAACTGGTGCGCTCGATAGAAATATATCATGTATTCCATTTTCAATTTCGCAGAATGTTATTTGTGAGCCAACAGTGGATACAGCTTGTCGCATTGTTGGTACATTAAGTAAAAGATCGGCTAAATAAAAAGGAACGTTTCATATAATTATTCTTATAGGAAGACGATGGCACCTTGTGTGTATTCATCACGCCAAGTCGCGTCTGGTTTTAGTGAACGATGCGAACACATACATAGAATAGGATATTCAATACAAGAGCCTCTGCTCATCAGCTCTTGTTGAGCACGGCGTATAGCCCCAAAAGAAGCACCATGGGCTCGAATTTTTTCAATTGGTTTTTTGCTTGTATCGAAATTCCATTCACCTCGACTGGATACATGTATCGTGCGGTTATACCAACTAGTGTAGAAAATAATATTTTTATTCTTCTGTGATAGTTTTATTTCAAATTCGATGTTACTTATCATCTATGTCTTTACTTAAACGAAGAGTTGTCGCCACGCTTAGTAACATTGATTCTGTGAAAGATGTTTCCAATGCAGCTAAGTACGGACTGTTGAGAATAATTGCACCGATTTCTTTATGTCTCAAACCTGCTGATCCATAGAGACAGGCAATAAGACCTCCTATTCATTTGAGATAACAATAAAACGCACTTCTATAGTTTTATTTTCATAATTAGTTAATGATTACCTGTCGAGTGTCCATAAAGGATCAATTTTTTAACTTTATCTTTAGCTTCTATAATGATTTGGTCAATTGACAGTGTAATTTCTTCATCATACTCATGAATATCATTAAAATAATGTCTGTATTGATCTTGTTCAGGTGAAATAATCGATCGGCCACATTTACGTAAATCTAATGCAAAAAAATCGTAACCATGTTCTAAAAATTCGACACACACGTGATCACTAGAAGAAAACAAAATCGAAATAGAATTTTCATAGGCCGAAATAGTTGCTACTGACTGAAAATAATAATCACTATATCCATGTATGTAGAGGATAGCTTTATAAAATTGGCTATTATTCTTTTTACTTCGAGCATGTAATAGAGTAGCTTTGTTTGGGCCAATATTGTCCGGTTTCAATGTGAAAGTTGTTGTCTCATATTCGATAGTCGGCTTCGTTGCTGTCGCGTTTGACATCGCCTTGTATTATTTCAAGTATGTTCGTATCGTAAAACAAATCTGTTGTCGAGTTTTGCTCTAGGAAGAAACAACGAAGATCAAATTTAAATACTCTAAACAGTCAAACGTTATTTTTGGTTTTAAGAATTTATTTTCCTTTTTTTTTCAAAAAGAAGGTAAAAAGATAAAAAAAGACCTACTTCTTTCTAAAACAAAACAAAAAATGGATCATGCATTTTGTATAGAGAAGAAATAGTTTATCAGCGCCAGGATATAAAAAGTACACGTGGCACAATACAATAGACGCAAGACTCAGAAGATAAATATACTTAATATGCAAGAAAAAAGAGAAAATCTATAAGAGGATTATGCAAAGATGCAAAATAAAAATTATTCCTGAAGAATTCATTTGTTGAGTGTAATTTTTTGTGCGATGTGACAATAAAATATAACTATTCGAATGATTTATAAGACTCTATTAGATTCTATCTTGCGACTAGAAGTTTGTTAATCTAAATCCTTGAATAAATACGAGCAGCTTATTAAGATCATCGATGAAAAGACATGCGCAATATTTATTTCGAAAGTATAAAAATATATTTGAGACTTCTACATAATTTTATCATTCATACGACTCTTTTCCGATTGTTTTTTAAGATTCATTATTTCTTCATTCGAAATCTATTTATATTCTACCTTACAATTACTAGATTTCAGTAACTGGATATCAAGAAAGGGATAAGATCAAACTCCTATGCTCATTTAAATGTCAGATGTCAAAACAAAATATCGAAAGTAGTTTTCGTATAAACCATTGCTAACCTTATCCGTCTGTTGCATTCGAATTTTAAAAAAATCACTTGATACGCAAGTGCATGTATAAGTGTTTCTGTTTTACTCCTCGTCGCCACGACTAATTTCTACATTTACGCTCATCATATTTTTTTCTCTTATCACTAATCGATATGTATATATACATTTCTTTGCTACGACATACGCACGCCCATTAAAATATTTGTTGCGATAAACAATCTTTCTTTTTACGCTTTCGGCGTGACCAATGTGTCACAACGAAAAAAGGAAAATATTTTCGTGTACCTCTATTGAAGTAAACTCACAGATTGAGTATTGTTTATTTTCTGATCTTTTGCACAAGTCGTTTTTATCATAGTTTGAATGAATAAAAGCAATACACTGTGTGATTACCACTGGAATGACAAAGTTTCTAATAATATGATGATCAAAAGCGGATGGTAGACAGTCGAGTAGTAACAGTTGTAGATGCCTTTCGATTAATATTTATTTATTCAAACGAAATCGACCATGATGAAAGTGATGCATATATTTTACGCGAGAGATAAATTGAAATAAATAGATAATGAAAGAATATGTATCATGAGAAAACTTGGATAAAATCAGTTGCGCCTATGTTCCATTGATATGTCTGATATAGACTTACGTTTGATTAAAAGAAATAAACCATAATATCGGAGTTATAGAATATAATTGAAGATGTGAGTGCAGGCTGAAGAACATCACTTTAAAGCATTCGAGCCATCAGTGTTATAGTAAATGCGATTTACATGATCAGATGATTATCTTCGTTATCTGTTGTTCGATTCTCTCATCAGCAAGACAAAAAGAATTCTTGTATGAAAACTTTCATTCATTATTGTGCTCAAATCAACCTGATTTCATTTCTTACTCATGAAATGATCCTTTTTCAGCAGTTTTTATTTTTCAAATAAATACACAACGGAATGATAAGAAATCTGCAATTTAAAGAAAATCGATCTATTGCTAATAGTTCATGTATAACGTAATAAATTCATTCCATATATATATATATATTTTTTTAATCTAAGTTATACAAAGTCAACAGTTTATCATTTCAATTTAGTTAACATCTTTTAGCTCTACGTAGGATCCTACTCGGCTAATATTATCTGGATGATGTACTTTCCGGTAATGTAAAATAAATATAGTGATTATTAAAACCTGTGTTAATAATAGTAAAATAATTGTCATAAATGTGATATTCAATTGCATAGCTAAAACCGTAGTTTCTATAATCACCAGTGCACAAAATAGAACTATTAGACTAATCCGTCCATACTTTTTACGTGCAAATTTATAAACAAGCGGATAAATAGATTCAACCAGTGATAGAATACCTGTACAAACGCCAAGTTGATTTAGAATATCAATGGATGATTGATCGGGAAGAACAAAACCGTAACAGACAGCAAAACTTGCAGACATATTCGATGGAATGACCGGTCGATTCGGTTCACAAACGAATTCATACAAAGGTTTGAAGGATGTTAATTGTGATTTAAATAAATAGCAATTTGGTACTCGTTCGGAACATACTTTTGTGGAATAAACATGTCGTGTTGAAAAAATGCATCCTTCGATGAATACCAGAATAGCCACTAATAAACACATGCCCAGCGCAAATACAAACGGAAGACGATTCCATAATTTCTTAGATATTTCGAATTCATCACCACATACATCGATAATAATATAATCGTTACCAACGCTACGTACTTTTGTAAAATGAAATATCGATTGAAGTAATGTCACAAGCTTTCGAAGCGGTAACTTCAATAGAACGATAGCTCCACCTAAGATGATAATAAAGAGCGAACCGAATAAAATTGCTGCATAAACACCATAGGGCAGCATCACTGCGTTTGTTCAATGTGGGTGACAATAGACTCAGAAAATTGGAAATTCCGTCCGCTAGCGACGAAATTTAAAGATAGTACCTAAACAAAGACACTATTGAATACAAACGCATCTGAATTCTACTTATGGTCTCAGATTGTTGTTCGTTTTCGTCACATGACCTGGTAGAGGATAGTTAATAGCTGATTGTCTCAATTTAATAAATAAGATTCGTATTATTATTTCATGAGAGAAACATCTATGATCAAATTTTCCTATTCATAATCGATGAAATAATATGAATCTTCTATTAAAGAGATTTTGTACGCAATAGTGTGGTAGACAAAATATCCTTTGTAATGTCAACAATACGACAAACAATAAATAGAATATGAAACAGAACATTTAAATATATCTTATCTATTGCAATGAATAACATTGACACGAGCAATAAAATGATACTGAAGACCAATAGTCGTCAGGGATGACTGTAAAAATAAACAACAAAAAAACATTTGACTCATTAAGAATTATTTTCGTTTTTCAACATGATGTGGAAAATCGGTTACAATAAATAGCTGAATCTTTCTGTATAGATGTTAACGAAGATGAGATCTAAACATTATCTTTCAATTGCCGTGAATCATTTCTTCATTAGTATGGCACCATTCCGACGAGTAATACAATGGTAATCCCGTATGGCGTTATTATCGCAGATGTAAAGACACAACAACAAACTAATTTCGTTTTAATAAAACTTTTGTTTTTAACTTATTGGCGTCGAGTGAGTCAATTAAATGCGCTTTTTTTTTGTAAATATTAAATCCACCCATAATAATGTCATAGAGAAATAAGCATACATGTAATATATAGGGCTTAGCTGTATATGATGTGACGCCCAAACCAAATATAAACTTTTCTGTAGGCATATAAATACTCTCTCAAATCAATACAGGTAGCATACAGAAGAAAAATACAATGCAACAAGCTTTCATTCGTCCATTGATATCCACAATTGCTCGTAGCAACATCATCCTACGAAGTAACTTTAGTGTCGATACGATGAGAAACAAGACAGTTGAACATGAGCGACATGATAATGATTTGATTTGTTCTTCTTGGGAAGAAGCAATCATTAAGGAATGCCGTAAGCCTGATCTCCCGCTGGATATACTACAAAAACAAACTATCGATACGATAAACAATGAGAATCGTATTCAACAATTAATCATGGAACCATCAACTGACCGCATCAAGTTTTACTGAATGGAATAATTGTTTCAATTTTTAGTAATTTCTTTTTTTCAATCTTGAATCTGTACTGAATCGAATAAATATGATATGTAACATTTATTTTCTAAGATCATTAGACAATCACGATTAATATAAACTCAGTAAACAAAACAGAGAACCCCACAGCCTTCATCAATTGTTTCTCTAATTGCATTTCATAGCAATCAAACCAAGGATATCAAATATCATTCTTAAAAAAAACGCCTTACTTTAGACAGTAATCCCAAGTGAAAGCTATTTTTGACTGTAAGTTGACATATATGTATCATATTCTATCCCTTCGAGTAAGCAAATAAATACAAAAAAGGCTAAAAAAACAGGATTGCCTTTAATTCGCACCATATGAAAGCTTTTCTCGTTGTTTTTTTTAAATTTATTTTTCAAAATACAAACTGTTCACTGAAACGAACAACAAACGCACACAGACACTAAACGGATGATAAGGTATAAAAGAAACAGAACATAGGCACATAGGACATGTTATAAGGTACAAAAGAAATTTTTTTCATCGATAATTTTTGAAAAATTTTGATTTTTATATATACATAATCGAAGAAACATGAAGTAGTAGAAAAAAAACAGAAAATGTCGCATATTAACACTCTTTTTGTACAGGAAACAAAGTGCAATCACCAAAGATTAAAGAGAAACAAGCAGAAAAGAGTAGTATTGCTCAAAAATTTAGAAAAACACACTCACAAGTATAACCAATTATGCTTTTTCTTCGTAATCATTGAGAAAATCGAAGCTCGTTAAATCCGGTTCATTAGTCGGCATATTCGATGCTGTATTAATCAATGTTGGTGCCGATGGTTTATTTATATATCTATCGTTATTGTCATCCATGTTTGATTGAAAAAATTGAGCATCCATTAATTTCGGTCGTTGCTTTGCTGGACGCCCTTTGATTTTGAATTCATCACCCTTGATTTTAATACGATGTTTACCATCGAATTGATCGCCAACATTAGCATATAATTCGCTTATACGAGCTGATTCATCGTCGGCAGTCGATGATGATGAATCACTAATCATATCGAAACTTGCATCACTTATACTTGCCTGTTTTGGTACAAGAGCTATGTCGTTTACATCGGTATCGTTATGAAGACGTTGCCGAAAATTTAGTATGGTTTCGCTTTCATCATTATTGTCCATTTCATTTTCATATCGTTGTCGAAAATTCAACATTGTCTGACTTTCTTCGTTGGATTCAATTAATTTGAGTTCGTTATCTTCATCGAGATCTTCTTCATCGGTCGAAATTAGAGAACGCCGATTTGTTTGTAATTGTTCTTGCCGTAATTTATCATGTTGTTGTTTCAAGCGTCGAACATCATCATCATCTTCGTCCTCATAATTATTTGCAGATGTATCGATTTTAACCAGTAACTCTTTTCGATCAATTAATGAACGTCGTTTATATTCCCTATTTTTGTAAGACAATAAAAATACATAAAAGTAATAGGTATTTTAACTTGCATCGATTAAAGCGAGAATGGAATGCATTACTATCGTAAAGATCATACCTTCAGTATGAAAGTTTATTTATTGAAGAAAAGTATGTGAGCTTTATCTTTCGAACCGATGTCATATTAGTAAAATGAATCATACTAAAATGCGTCATAATGTCATGATTCCAGTACGATATCGAAAGCTCACACTTTTCTTCAATAAATAAACTTTCATACTGAAGATATGATCTTTACGGCAAGTAATACACTTCATTCTCGCTTTAATTATACTAACTACCAAACACTCCCACATACTTACATCGATTGATCAAGTTGTTCAAGTACGGGTGCTAAACGTTGAAGTAATTTCGGTATTAACTTATGATAAACAATAGCAGGTAATGTAAAAAGTATTAACATAATTATATATGATACATAGAAACCATTTATTTTCACACCAATATATGCAAGTATAAGACAAATAACAATAATAGTTATTGAATATTTTACACGATTGTCAGTTTTAAGTGTATTCAATTTTTCATGCGTTGCACATACATGACGATATGAGCGTAAAACGAACTTGGTCAATTCAGATAAATTTTCTTCGCCATTGACTAATGCATGTGATCGTTTCTTTTTTAAACAATCAAGTACATGAAATACTAGCACAACAAGCATAACGGCGCAAAACGGCCGTAAACCAGCTTTTGCTATAGCATAAAAAATACAATGGCCAAGAAAAAATGCAAGTAAACTTGCATATCGATTATGCCATAAAATAAATCGTTCGACACGATGAAATGCTGGTTCAAGTGAAATAATAATATCTTCCATGATATTTGTTATCAAATACGAAATCTGAAATGAAAATAAGATTCTTCCTGCATCTTTCAAATAACTACAGTCAACAAACAAAAAATTTCTTTCGTTATATACACTAACAACAAGAAACAACAATCTAAATAGTTAACTAACAAAGGACAATATCATTTGTATTCGATCGGTTGGAATTCAAATCATTATTAGCTGTTGAAGGTTGCTTTCTTTGCACACTTGTTACTGGTTTCGAATGCATTTCTATGACCATATCAAGTTGATAACGTTCACGACATTCAAGAAAAAATGATTCAACATCTGCTATGGCCTTTGTTGGTCCAATAATACGTGCAACGGCATCAAAATCTTTTCCATATTTTCCAAATGCTTGTATAGCTAAAAGGATTTCTTCTGTTGTCCAATTGGATGTTGGTGTTACTGTGATGGAATTCGAGTTATTAATCATGAATGGTGACGATGATGACGTTAGAAATGGTATTCGCATTGTTTCCATGCCGTCACGACATTGATTTGTTAATTGATCAATAGTTTGATTATGTGCTTGAACAACGGCTAATTCTTGGCGTATTTCTTCTTCAAGTTTGTCAATAGGATCGATTATTTCATTATTGTCGGTATTAGATGTTGGATTATTATCATAGGAATTCACAGCTAGTATACTATTCAAATCGACTGCCATATTTTTAGGTGGTCGCTTGATTTTTTTAATCGACGATTTACTTGGAAATAATTCAGGTCGCATTAGACCGGAATTTTGCCAATAAATAAAACATTCATTACAAAGAATGCCTTTCGGAGTGGAATGCATAGGTCCAATACTATCCTTTACATTTGTTACTTCACAATTACAACATTCTTGTTCGTCGAGACCCGTTTGATCAGTGACCATTTTACCACGATGATCCAAATCTCTATTAAAAAAAAAACAATGAATTACGTTTCTTTCTTTAGATAATTTTTCCTCGATTCTAAAATATTTACTTTGTTGGTAGTGGGATCGATGTTGTATTTCTTTCTTCATCATCACTATCTTCTTCATCGTCATCGTAGGGCATTAGTTGACTTTGTTTTTCATGTTTATCCATTAAACTTTTATGTAACCGTGTTTTTTTCCATGAGTAGTAATATCGTACAAGATCACCAACACTTTTATCAGGTAACATTTGTCGTATACGTGAAAATATTTTTCCATAGAATTTATAGGCTTGTTCAAATAAACACTTTTCTTCGACTGTCCATTCATCGATTTCTGGTGTATATTGTTGCATGAGTAATTTACTTGTAGAAATTCTATATTTACAAATCTGTAATACAGCTAATGCTTGTTCTTCGCTCATACGATGTTTACGACGTGCAAAGTCAATATATTCGATGAGATCATTATCACTAATAGAATCGTTGGGTTGCCAAAATGGAATAGCTTCATGATCAGTTGGTGAGGGTGTTGGATCTAACGCTGGAATATTAGCTTGATAAGATGAACCTTCATGAATTCGAACATCACTATCTGATGTTGACGATGAATCAATATCAGCAGCTGTTGATGAATTTGTTTTTTTTGATGGAGTTAATGTTAGTTTCATTTTCTAGAACATATGACTTGAAGTTTAGCTTTTTGGGATAAAAAAAGAATAATACACAAAGGATTTTAGATGTTATGCGGACAAGAAAAAATACACATTTAGAAGAAAAAAAAGAGGCATCACAAAGAAAAGGATACGTTTGAACCAAATGAAGATTTCTGTTCAAAGCTGATGTTATAGTCCTTTTCTTTTTCTGTGAGAGCCCCCATACATCGAAATCGTACAGTAAGAAAATTATGAGCGTCTATATTAAAGACATTTATTTGCTAAGAATCACTGAGATGGATAAACTGCTCCTTCCGATGGTTGAGATAATTTTGCATTCTCTTTCAATGACATGCTAGATCGAATTTCGGTTAACACTTGATGAATACTTAAATCTCGATTCCAATTACGAAGAGCTGGAATATATTTTGAATCGATCTAAACAAAAAGAGGGTCATACTTTTGGAAGTGTCCTTTTTTGATAGAATAATTCTTACAGAGCCATTAGCTGCTACACCCGTTAGATTGATACGCGTTTGAAAACGAACGCATGGCGGTTCTTCGGGATAACGATCACTACAATGAATTTTTAATGTATAAATGCGACCTTCATAAGGCGTCTAAAACAAAAAGTTCTGTTTATTTCAAGAATCGATGACTCATGACTTACTCGTGATGGTCCAATAATCATACACACCCACCGAGATAGTGACATATCATCGTTTGCTTCGAGACCCCATGATACCGATCTTAAGATAATAATAGTACAAACGTATTGTTTTAGAATAATGAAACAGACTGCTAGTTTACCCTTCATGATGACCTTTTTGAGCCGCTTCAAGTTCCTCCAATAGTTTGAAACTGCGTGGAACGACTAAATTAAATAGAAAGAGATAAATCTATGGTTGCTATGTATGCATCAGGCTATCTCATTGACGAAAATATGAATATCAAAACTCATTTTGTTCGTTTTTCACTAATTCAAACATACGACAAGCGATGACCGATGATATATATATATGCGTGCACAAACGTACCTGTACGCGACTGAAAATTGCTAGCCATTGGTTGGCAATATCAAAGATCTAAAAATATTCCGAAAAAAAGAACGCAATTCGCTTGTTAATATTTTTCGTTTTTAACAAGCAATTTTTCTCTAGTCGATTACTCAAACAAGAAAACACTCCATAAATAAACAATAATCATCAAGAGATTTACGAGCGTGTGTACACACATGCCAGTCCCCTTGTTTTCCTGTTTGTAGTTTAACCAATTGAAACCGAGTTCAAACATGTGGCGACGTATAGAGGTAATCAACATCCATCATGGCGATATGCAATGCTAATCCGCAAAATTTCTCCGATACTCTAACTCATCCAATACGACCGATATTATAAAGAAAAGCTATTTATTAGTATTATTTTAACATTAAAAAATGTACAGATTAATCAATTTTGTTGGCGTAGATTGATCGAAATCAATCTACAATCTGACTATTACAGACGAGAGAAAAAAAGAGAAGCAAAAGTTCGTTATTGACGCCAACTAGGTGTTGCTCGATGTGGTACATAAAAGATACTTGGTGGAGCCGATGTATCTTTAGATGCTTCTCGAGGAGTTTTACTACGTGATGTCCATGCTTGTGTTGGTTCATATAAATGATGAGGATCATAGTCCAACGATACTTGATATTTTGATGCTTCAAGACGACGTTGTCGAGCTTCTTCTTCCTGTTTTTGTAATCTGTCACGTTCAATTTTGTCTTCTAAATTGCTCATATCCTATGAAGGAAATAAATAAATAAGGATAGATTGTATGTTAGATTTTTTACTCTTTCACGAAATTTACGAATAGCTACAGTTGCTGTTCGTTTTCGAATTTCCTGTTCAAGACGCCGCTGTTTTGCTTCTTGTTCTTCTTCCCTTCGTTCAGTTTCTTCACGTTCACGACGAATCTGTTCAACTAACTTTCTTTGATCTTCTTTTTCAGCAATTTTTTTCGCTTCTTCTTGTTGTTTTTTCATCTCGATTCGTTCTTTTTCTTCGTCTATTTGCTGTTTTTTCAAGTCTCGTTCTTGTTTCCAAGCAGCTAATAATGCTGCTTTTTCAGTTCGTAATCTTTCTTGTTCTTTAGCCTGTGTTCGCTGAATGGCATCATCGATTTCTTTAATAGTATTATGTGCTTGTTCAGCCTCTTGCAGAATTGTTTCTTTTGCATGCTAAAAGTCCAATTGAGGATTTAATTTTTAGTACGCAACAAAACAGAACTTACATTTCTTTCATCACGCCATTTTTTCAATGCTAAACGCCGTTTATTACTAATACTTAAAAATTGTCGATACCAATTTTCATGTTCGAGAATTACATCTCGAGTTTTAGTGGGCAAATATCCAATAGATTCATCAATAAATTTATCATCACCCTATAAGAAAATATGATTCGTATTAATAATTTTTCAACGAGATAAATCAATAAGTTTACAACCTTATATTTATTTCGAATCCGTAAGAACGTTCCATGATCGTATTCATCCCAATTTCCTGTTGTTCCCCCTTGTTCAAGTAAAAACCGCTATGAATTAAAAGAAAATTTGTCACAATCAAATATGTGAAAAATTACTTACGTCATATTCAATAATTTCAGGCAAAAGATTTGAATTAGATGCATCAATTTTACGTGCAGATGCACTCTGCGGTGGAACTGATTCACTTCTTTGTTGACCAGGTCGTTGTTTAGACCATAATTCAATTTTGTCGTTTAACGATTGTACTTCATTCGATAGTAAACGTTCTTCAGCAATAAGTTCTTCGTACCTTAAAAATAATAATTTGATTTGAAAAATAAATCAACGAATCCGTCGAAGGGTAGAATTACTTTAATCGAGATGCTTCTTTTGACGCATAAATTGTTTGTTCGATTTCTTCGATTGAATTCCGAATTTTATTAACCACTGATCATAGAATTTACAATAAAATATATAAATTGGGATAAGAAAATCTTACTTGTTAAATCTGGTTTTAAATGACGAACATCTTTTGAGAATGAACGAACATTTTGACTGATACGTTGCAAATGTTGTTGAATTCGACGCTCTTAAAAACAAAACAAATCTTTATTTTATGAATTATGTTGATTATTACTTTCAGTATTGAATGCTTGTTCATATGAATTTTTTTCACCAGATAGTTCACTGTACACATCACTATATTCACCATGACGGGAAGTGAAAGGTGCATCAACTTCACGTCCTACTTGTCGTAATCTAATTGAGAACACAAAAGCACGTCATTCTCATGCATATACTTACATCATGAGTTAAATTTACCGTTTCTCTTGTTGACGAATAGTGAGAAGAGCATCACGTTCACGTTCATTATTTGGCAAAAGACTACGACCTACTGTTTGATGATTTGTAGTCATTTAATACATATAATTGTAAGAATATTTATTCGCGTCGATTAAGACCTAAAGTGTTGACATGGCGACCACTGCGATAGGTGAGTAATAATAAATCAGACTCAATAACTGACATGCGAGTTATAATCAATAGATGTCAGTAATCGATGAAATGCATCGTACTCATCGTTTCACTTTTTCGAAAAGTTTCATTGTCAATATTTTTTTTATCAAACATCAGATCGTTGAAATCGTTTTTTATTTTTATTTATGAGGATATGGATTCTATTTTAGAATTAAGCACTATGCCAACGAATTTGCTAACGTTTGAAAATTTCTAAAGAAAAGTCATTTACCAAAACCCTTGTTTTTTATATTGAGTATTGCTATTACTTGTGTTAAAAATCAATCGATTTATGTTTAATAGAGTAGAAATAAATGCAATTTTATATCATCAATCGAAAGAATTTTAAAGAGAGTATGCTATTTTCGAATGTCTCATCATATTTTAATTGATAAGATGCTGCAAAGAATCCTATCAAACGAAAATTTCTTCACTTTCGTTTCACCTTGATTCGTTGGTTCGTTCGACTTATACGAGTAGAAAGATGGAGCTTCCTTGCCAATCAATCATTTGCAGGTAAAATCCAGTAAATACAAGTCGTTATTTTATCAATTAGAAGTCACTACTTCAAATATATAGCTCGTATTCTTTTAATTTATCATGTCGATTACTGAATTTGAATATAAAACTGGCTTTCCAGCACTTCGCTTGACAAATTCAAATGGTTGTTCCTCTGTGGAAATATTATTATATGGTGCACATGTTCTTTCATGGACTACGAACAATAAACAAATCTTGTTTCTAAGGTTTGATTTTCTTTTCTCGACGTAGTTCATTTCTTGATGATTGTGTATTCTAGTGATAAAGCTATATTTGCACCAGGAAAAGCTATTCGTGGCGGTATACCTATTGTATGGCCTCAATTCGGACCTGGTCCATTACCACAACATGGTTTCGCTCGTGTTAAAACATGGCGTTTAGGAAAAACAAATACCAATGGAGATGTCAGTGTTGAATTACATCTTTCACATGATGAAGATACATTGAAAATATGGCCACATAAATTCAATTTAACACTTACTATTCGTTTAAAAGAAAAATCATTTTATCAAGAATTAACTGTACATAATGAAGATAACCATACATTCGAATTTACTGCATTATTTCATACATATTTTACTGTTGATGATATAAAAACAACAAATATGTATGACTTCACGTTTCACTCTCTCTACTGTTATTGAAACTTATTTGTTTTTTTTTGTATCTAGATGTGGTTTAAATAATGTAACTTACGCGGATAAAGTCGATGGAAGCAAAACTAAAACAGACACCAATAAGATTCTAGAATTTACAGGCGAAACCGATCGTGTCTATAACGATGGTGGAAAAAATGCAAACCCTATTCTTATCAATGATTGTATTCAAGTGATTGGTTCGAGTACAACATCGGATATTGTCGTATGGAATCCTTGGCAAGAAAAAGCCAAAGCATCTGTTGATATTGGTGAACATAATTTTTCGAAATTTGTCTGTATTGAAGTTGGTCACGTTCATGATTCTGTGAAGCTAGACAAAGATCAATTATGGAAAGGTTCACATGAAATCACACTACTCAAATGAGATATATTTGTTAACACTTGCATTTTATTCCAGTCGTCTTAGTTAGTCATAGAAAAGCTGAACATTTCAAAGGGCGTCATTGGATTCTAATCATTCTTTATTGTAGTTTATCTTGAATTGGTTGATATTTTATTGATATTAAAATAAAATTAGTTATAAATAATAATATTATTGTTCCACACCTAGAAGATAGTTTAAAAAAAAATCAACTTTAACCATAGTGAAGAACCTCGCATCGTTGATTTGGTTTGACTTCAAGGGGGGAAAAGCTGATTGAAATTAAAGCAATTTTTACCAATCATTGGGAATCTTTGACAATCAACAGCAAATATTAGTAATGATTTAGAATAAAATGCTTTTTATTCAAGACAATGAAAGTCGTTGTCATTTATATAGTTATCAGTATAGAAAGTATTGTATCATCATAATAAATATCATCTTATATTATATTCATATATCCCGGTCAATTGCGACGACCAGTAGACAGTCGATATATAATCTATGTATGTTATAAAAATGGCAATTTATAGTGATTGTTTCATTTCATAAGTTAACTTTATTCAGGAATAGGGTTCTGATGCTTTAAAAAATTGTGAAGAACATTTGTTGTAAGATGTCTGAGCGGTTACATATACGCTTGAGTTTATTGGGCATTAAAGACAATCTCGTCTATTTCCTGTATAATATCCAATATTGATCCTAAGCAGGACGGGAAAAGTTGTCCTGCGCTCTCATCTCTAATTTTGAAAAAAATTTATTTTTATTAAAAAAAAGTGCAACCCATTGTGTTGATTTTGATCAATTCTTTTTAAATTGTAGCTGAAATAAAAATTATAAAATCTTGCTATAGATATTCTTCTAAAACTTGATGAATTCTGTCTCAACAATATAAAAATACCACAGAAATAAAATTCTGCTCAATTTTAACTTAGTAGCACATTGTTTTCATTTTTTTGCTAGTTAAATAATGGTTTGAATTTTTTAAATGAAATTCAACATTTGTTTATTTATCTAATTAATATCTATTTAATTTCAGACAAGTTTTATCTGATTTGGTGTTTTCTTAATCGATTAAATAATTAATAAATTCAATTGAATTTATACAAATAAAGATTTAATAGAGAATAAGAAACTATTTCGCTCGAGTGTTTAAAAGAAAACAATTATGCTTATTTATTTTATAGAATATTTGTACATAGTTGACTATTGATTTTCTTCTTGTTCAATATGTTTTTCATGACGATTTATAGATTTTGGTTGAGAAGATACTTGGAGAGTTAAGGAATAAAATAGGAAAATAAAATAACAGTATATCTAACAACAGAGCGCAAGAAACCAATAAGTATATGTATTAGTCAAGTATTTTAACTTTCATTAACCCTTTCTGTATAGCACTATTCTTTTAACGAAAAGTTTATTTTCAAAATTTACAGTAAATTTTCTTTAATATGAAGAAATATATTATTCAAATAAATCATATTTCATTGTTACACATTAGAAAATTTTTGGTGCTTCTAATGAAAAGCCAATGAGTAAAGAACTGTTTAAGAACATTTAATAAAAAGATGTTCTAACGTTTTCCTTCTTTCGTTACAATCTGCGTATAATCATATTTACGATGATTGAACATCAAAAGAAATTACTTCTTTGTTTAGTTTAAATCTTGATAATGTTCTAGCGAATGCATAGGATCTATCTATGAAACAAACTTCATGTGAAATTCTCATAAAAATCAGTATAAATCGATAAGCATAATATATTATACGATGAACTTTTTCAATCTTAGGTTATTTTGAATAATTTCTAGAAATTTTATATAATATACGATTAAAAAATGTTGTTTGTTACAGTTGATAATTCTATCATTTTCTCACTGACTGATAATAAACTTTAAAAACATTATGTGATAGTTATTAATAAAAAATTGAATTTATTATTGAGATATAAGACAATGATCAGTGAGCTTTATTTAATTTAGTTAAAAAATTATAAAGATTTTATTTTTCTTTGGAAGCTAATTTAAGTCAAATTAGATTGTCAATAAAAGGATAATATTTCAATAATAAATATAGAAGTAAGATGAGATCTTGTTGTTATTTTCAATAAATGTTCAAGTTTCTTTAATAGACACTTAAGAAAACAAACGAAAAATAAATAAAATTTGTTCTTTCAGTTTGATTTTTATGTTAAAAAATTCTTTTGTTTGGTAACAAACGAATTCAATTGTTCTTCTTCCATAGTGATTACTAAACAACAATCAATCACTTTTACATTTATTCTAAGAATCTATTCTACAATAGACAATAAATAGGCCTAGAAGATTTTAGTCTCATTATTATTAATAGTAATTTTATTTATCTTAGTTTTTTAATTAATAGAATTAATGATATTGTTATTTATTTTTTTCTTCATAGTTTAAAAATAATTCAATCTGATAAAAAAAACAATATTCGTTAATAAAGAAAAATTCAAGAATGAAGATAAAAGTTTTCGATATTTTTTTCGCCATGATTTGTTTAACAACTGGTGAAATAAATAAAATATTGAAATATATTTAAGTTAGTTATTCATTGAGCATTTTTCAATAGAATAATGGATTTGCCTAAGGCATTACTCATACCATTTATTCTATTCATGAAATGAACTATTTGAATAAAAACGAAAAGAATAACAATTCACTTATGTTTCTTCTATTCAATATTGTACATTAGTATTTTTCCTATAAACGTTTTCTATATAACATTTTGTTTTTCTTTTCATTTCATTTCTTGATATTATTTTGCGTAGAAGATAAATAATTATATTCTCTATCGGTCAGTTTTATATTTAATAATCAATGAATATATTAATGAATTGTTTACTTTAAAAAGTCGAATATTTTTCTCTACCACGTATCAGTCAAAGACGTTTCATTTCTTTTGTTTTTGTAGTTAAAATTTCTTAAATTAAATTATTTATTTATTTTTAACTTTCAAAATAGACGAATTAATTTCTTCGTTAAAGACAAGAGATATATCAATCTCAAAAAATTCTTCTAAAAAACTTTTTAAAAAGAAGAGATTTAATTCTAGTCTATACAAAATTTTATATAGACATGAAAACGTGTTGTTGAGAAAATATTTTGATGCGAATTCTATCGATAGAGCTGATTTATAATATTTTCGCAATAATTATTCTATTAATCGTTCATTAATATAATGTGGCATAAAAAGAGAATTGTTCAGCACTGCTCAGATTTCTAGACAAGAAAAGTTGGGAACTTTAGAAGACTTAAAGTATTTTTTATTCTAGATTGTTCGATACTTTCTAAAATTTATATCATTTTCGTAATCATCAAAGTTTTTAAAAATTGTAAAATCCAATATTATCAAATATTTTTACTTTCTCTACTATGTGAATATCAAATTTATGATAATTTTTGATCATTTGCTAGTCTCTTCTTTTTTTTTTTTTTATAAATGTGAACATATTTTCTTTCGATAATAATCTAAGAATATTCATGTCTAATAACTTATGCATATATGATCAGATTATTTTACTAATTTCTATTTTATCATGTTTCTTATGTTACGATTTTAGTTAAATGTTCGATTAATTCTCAAAATAGGATTTCTATCAAATTATTTTATAATATTTAGTGAAGATTTCTATCTAGAATTTTGTTTTTGAATATTTCATTCAATTTTACATAAAATATTTTGTCTTAATAACTCAATTTTGAAGTAACCATCAAATCCATATTAATTGTCCAATTTTCGTTTTTTACTTGTAAAAGTTGAGATAGTTGTCATAAGATTAGACACTATTTTTTGTTTTGTATAACTAAAACAATTATCAAATGATAATGACTAGACAAGTTTTACGCACTGTGTTCTATAATTTTAATTTGTATCTTAAGTTTTCCAGAAATAATCTACATAAAAAATAATTTCTTTTCTGCTATTTTTCTCTCCAATAGATTTTTATTTATATATGTAAATGAAAGAAAAACAATACGATCGAAATAGATTGATATTTTCAAAGTCAATTTTACGGAACGATTATTGAGATCTATTTCTCTTTTCTTATATTTCAGAGTTTATTTTTAAATCTAGACTGCCGAATACGATAAATTATATAGTATGATGACTCTAGATTATATCATTAAAAGTTTTGAAAATTCGAATGGATCTAACTGATATTTATTATGCATAAAAGTAGAGAATATATCTACTAATTTATCCATTTTAAGAATTAAAAAAATTAATATTTTAACTAAAACTTAATATAGAAATGAATTCTATTCAAAAATTTGACTTGTTTTTATTTTTGATCATTTTTTTGTTTTATTAAAAAATAATGAGTCATGAAATGATTTAATTTTGAAAAGTTAAAATAAAATATCTTTGACTAGCATTTTTTTGTCCAATTTATTTTAAATAACAAAAATTGAAATTTTGTTTTTAGTGATTTTTTTATTAAATAAAAAAACTACTATTGAAAAATGGGTGCTGGTTCGAGTCATAATAGAAAAGTGAGTATAGAAACTCAATTTCCAGTTTCATCAAAATTACGAACACGAACTCCTTCGCCTCGACCAGTACCAAGAGATGCAAATTTATCTCGACGGCCATATTCATCTCACCCATCGCCATGGTTAACCAAAAGAAATACACAAAACCATGAATCAAATAAGCATTTAGCCTTATACGAATCAATATGGGAAACAAGTGGAAAGGTTTGACGAAGATTTTATTAAATAATTTAATAGAATACTTTAAGAATACAAAAAAAAGAATACTTTTTAAGATTAAAATTTTAAAATGTTTATCGAGATTTATTTATCTTTGTTGTATAGTTATCATCAAAATTTGAACAATTAGTAAAATCTTCTTCAACTAATATTGAACATGATCAAAAAGAAACAAATCATAAAGAATTAGTAACAAAACATACAACTAAATATGAAACAGCTGAAGTTGAATCAAAGTTAACAACTCAGTTTGAATCAATTCATAATTTATCGACATCAGATAGATTAGATACATTAATGAATGATTTAAAACAGACTCATACAAATTTTGATCAAACTGTTCAACAAAGAATTCAACAAATAACATTACAAACAGAATCAATTCTTGCGCAAATTGTTCAAGAAACTCAACAAAATCAACAAAATTTATTAATTGAAGCTAAAGAACAACAAACAGTTGAAGATGAACAATATAGAATTTTATTAGAAGAATTTATTATAAAATTAGATGAAAAAAAAGCAAAACAATTAGCTTTAATACAAGAAAAACTTAAACAACAACGTTTAGAAATTTTTAATGAGTCTCAATTAAAAATTCGTACTGTTAGTGAACAAGCGGCTTTAATGAAAAATCAAATTATGTTTGAAGAAGAAAAAAAAACGTCAGAAAACATTGATTTAATTGTTAATGAAATAAAATCGATTTCAAGTGATTCAGCTATTCAACAATTAGGAACACAAATAAAAACACAGATTAATTTGACTCTTTATGAAAAAGTGGGATCAAATAAATCTCAAAGTGAAGTTAATTTTAATTTAGATGATCAAAATAGAAGTAATAATACAAATGAAAATATTTTTAAAAAAATAACTTTTATGTCAAATCAATCTTCAAATCAAACAACATTACAATATCCGACATCAATTAAATTATGTGATCATCAAACTAGAAACAACAAATTAATTAATTAGTTAAATAAAATTCATAAAGCATCGGTTTTATTTAATTTTTTTTCAATTTGACAAGTTCATGAAAAAATGTATATATAAAATTGATTGTTTTATTTAAAAATAAAAGAAAATCAATTTTCACTTAATCAACGCATGAAGAAATGAATAATATGAAACTTATTTCATAAATAGAACAGATAACAAATATAGATTAATTTTTCAAATATTATCAATCAATGAAATGGTAAAAAAAAAGAAATTGAATTAAGAACATCCATATGTCATATGTTAACCAAAACTATTTTTACTTTCTGTATTTATCTATATAATTGCAATGATTGATGATCGTGTCTATTTCATACAAGCATTCTATTTTTATTGTTCAATTGTTGAGAGAATCTATCTTGATCAGCTGATGTTTAATACAGTAACTGTCTTGACAATGAAGATGGGGATGATAATATGCTATCAGTCGATATTTTGACGTTCATCTAAATCAAATTAAATGTTTTTTAGTCTTAGCAACTATATAATCGAAATTTTTTATAAAAGGTTGAGCACTACTTTCAAATAAGAATTTCTGTGTAGAATAAAATAAATCATTATTCAATTCTCTTCATGTATCACTAAAATCAAACGTCTGTTTAGTTCTATCCAACTTGTAATCATCACAGTAATGACGCAAGTGTCTTGCTTCATTGCATGAACGTTTTTTTAATATCTATTCTTATAATTTTTTCAGTTTTTTCACGAAAAAACTTGATAGAAATATGAAATCTATATAGTCATTAATTTGATTCAAGAAAACTATCTTATTTATATTATCTATTTGTTCATCTAAAGTCATGTTATATCTTTCATTTATTCTCTTTTTATCATATCTCAATCATATAGTGAAACGATTATCTACTCTTTTTTACATTGATTTGAGTTTGATTAACTCAATGATTAACTTTAGTCTTTTATCCGATGAGACTCTTAGATACTACATGTAGTATTAAACATTAGATAATCTTTAGAATATTTAGAGGAATGAATGCTAGTTTTTAGTCATTTATCGCAGCGATAAAGTCATTTCCGATGATCAAACCATTTGTTTGGACCATAATTGATTTTCACCAAGTTTTTGAATTAATTGAATGAACATTATCAACAGAACCAAGAGTCAACAGTTTACTAGAATTGTTAAATATCAAGAAAATATTTTCTTAAAAAGACAATCTCAATGACGAAACTTTTTGTACATACTGAAAATAATGACATTCCTGTTTGCGTTCAAGTTAAACATCGGTTCAATTATTAACTTTTATTTTGTTATAAATAGCTTTTTATTGTTATAATTAAACAAACAATGTCAATTCAAATTTGGGTTTTCATGACAGACAAAGATTTAATTAATCTGAGTCAAGTTATCAATATATATTATTTTGTACAAATTAAATTTTACCTTCATTCAAACTATGATTTGTCAATTTATTGTAATATTAAATAGCATCGGATTATCTTATTCAGAAAAAAATTCAATGATATTATGAAATTTATTTTTCATTTTAAGATCTACTTTTTTTTCTATCAAAGAATGTTAACTCTGCTACTGTTTTGAAAGACAATATTTCATCTTTTAGTTCATTGTAATTTTCTTACTATTGTACCATATACACGAATGTTTTCTTTTACATCTAGAAAATGCTTATAGAAATTCAAATAACTGCAATGAACAATGAGAATTTTTAATAAGACTTTACTAAGTATTTCGATTTTACCACATGTACAGATTATGTTCATTTGTATATTCAATAAATATAACTGTTGATCAAAGATGAAAATAGGTTGTCGATATTTCTATATTATTATTTATACATACTTACAACATCTATTTGATATTAAATTCGATATTAATAAATGATTAGTTGATGTTGAATTGATTAGTATTGAAAAGAATTATTTGTCATTTATATTTTATAAACAAATAACATTTGTAGAATTAATAATTAGCTGAGCTATTAAATGATCAATATAAAAATGGCAATTAACATGAATAATGGATTGAAATTTTGAATGATATACTAAAATGTCGACTATTTCATTGACTACACCTTGAACTATAATTGTCATTTGTGTATTATCAACATTTGTATGTAAAGAAGAAAATCGTTGCTGACTAATAAATGTCCATTTATTAATTTCACCCATGAAAGAATATTTTGTCGATGAAGAATCATTGAAAGACCAAATAGGTGAAGAATACCAAAGACAAAATGACGTTAAATTACATATTTTATTTGATATTTCAAGTGAATGATTTTCATCGAAATAATTTATTTTATACGGATTATCAAATGACCAAAGAATTCCGTTTGATGAACGAATCATTGAAGGAACTATTGAATAGTTACGTTTCATTGATGATGCAAATATAAAAGAAAATATTTCATTATTTATAATTGTTTTCGTTGAATAAAGTTCTCCTTGTATAACTCCGTGATGAAGAGCCCAATCTGAAATAGCTATATCGATCATTGTTAAAGGTTTTTTAGGTTTTAAAATAAGACCATCTTGACGACAACATCTCATAATACGTTCTTTATCAACATAATTAATTCCATCGCCAAAAGCCACTGGTCCAGTTGAAAGTGTTGCAATTAAAATTTCTCTATCAGGTAAAACTTCTTGAGCTGTTGTTTTATATGGAGCACCAGGTTGATATTGATTTGACCAAAAAACATCTTTAAATGGAGCTATTCCAATAGCATTAGCTAACATTGACGATACACCTATATTCCATTGAGGAATTTGTCTATTAATATGTATATAATAATCATCCGATACTCTTGCTTGTGTAACACGATCGATTTCTAAAGCTTGAAGTGCATGTCGTGGTAGATTCATTGAATATTGTATATTAATATTAAAAAGATGAGCTGCATAACCCATTGATGTTAACCATTGTTTACCGAGATGAATTGATTGGCATAATGGAATAAAATCAACTGTTTGATGGTTCATCCAATCTTGTTCATATAATATTAGATTAAAATCTTTTGTTGAATTATTAAATAAATCAATCCAAAATGAATCATTGCCTAATGGAAGACTTTTTAAGTTAAAATAATCAATTATAAAATTATATTTATTCAGATAAATTGTGTCCGATGACCAATAACGATTATGTGCAGCTAATGGAAAATTATTTAACTTTTCATTTAATCCTTTAAGTCCACTTGGAAATATATCTGGACGAGCAAACCATTGTTTAACACCATCGCCTAAACCTTTATAATACCACCAAGAATCTAATTGAAGATAATGAATTGGAATTGTAAGATTTTCTTTTATTTTAATTATTGTTTGTTCATAATTCATTTGAGATTCTGTATTATAATAATAATAAGCTCCATTATCTGTATAATAACCAAGATAATTGATAGTTAGATCATTTAAACGATATTTATTTGTTCGATTAAATATTTTTTGCATTAAACTACCCCATTGTTCCATAAGTTGATTAATGCCGTCAGATGAATAATATATTATTAATGAATTTGTAGAATTACTTGGAATTGATTTAATTGAACCAATAAATCCATATTCTAATATATTTTTATTAATTGATAACGAAGTTGACATAAATTCAGACAATGATGAAATAATAATGGAATCATTTTGGCCATATTCAGTTGAATTAAATATAATTAATGGACCACCACTCATACCGATTTTTAGAAATTTACTTTGATTATTCCATAGTCCAGCATGTTTTTCAAGTTCACCCATCATCATTCCTTTATTTTAAATTAAATTAAATTAGAAAAAAAAAGAAAACGATAATTTTTACCTCCAAATGTTAAATAAGCTCTATGATCATCTTGATCAATTTTTTCAATATAAAAAGAAGGAAAAACAGTTCGCACTTGATCACAATTAAGTAAAATATCATTATTTAAATCGATAAAATCATTATGAAAATAGAAATTTATTGCTGGTATTAGTTTCCATTGACGAATTGTTCCTGTTATATTTATTGATGTTCGATTTAAATTAAAATTATAAATAAATATTGTTTCATTCCAATCTCCTAATAATACATCATAGCCTTGTTTAAAAATTGAATCAATTAAATGAAGAGACTGATTTTCTGATGTAAACCATTGATTATTAGTATATAAACTTGTATAAGATGAACGAAGCCATAAACGATTATTAACAGTTAGATTATATTCACCAGTTCGATTATTGATTGAAATATTTATATTTGAATATGATACATTAATTGATATAAATAATAAGACTATTTTTAATAAATACATTTAACTCGTCAAAATTGAAATATAATTTATTCTATATTATCTTTTCTGATGCTTTTTTTAAAAGATTATTAGATATAGATAGTTTCCTTGTTATTTTTCATTCGTTCTGATCAGTAAGCCAATCATTCGATTTTATTAAGGGGGAGCCCCCGTCAGAAAATCGATTTTTTTTCGAAAAACCGATTTTGAGATAAGCACACCCTCTGAAAAATAGACAAGCAAATAATAGAAAATGTTTTCGAAATTATTTATTCAAGAATGACGTATGTGAAACAAAAAAATGATTTATTTTTCTATCATAAGAAATTTTTAACTGAAACAAAGCCAACTGTTTATTTTCTAGGTTTTTCTTTTCTTAAATCAATAATTGAAAATCATTGAGAGAAAAAACTAAAAACTTTTTATATAAAAATCGAAAAAGTTCATATAAATTAACCTTTTTCTTAATAGACAACAGTAAAAATCGCTGAATTTCGGCGTGTTGCTATATGATGCTCATTCAGTTCTCGTATTAACAGATGCAGGAATATCAGCTGAATCTAGTATTTCAACATTTCGTGGTGCTGGAGGACTTTGGAGACAATTTAAAGCTACATTTTGTTTTATTATTATTCAGAAACGGTAAGATTTTTATATTTAAATCTATTTAAAAAAACGATTTAGCAACTTGAACAGCTGTTGCATGTTCGCCTTCTCTTGTTTGGGAATTTTATCATCATCGTCGAGAACTCGTTCGAACCAAACAACCGAATGAGGTTTTGAATTTTATTTTATTCTCAAATCAATAAATAAGTTTAAAAAAATAGGCCCATATAGCATTAGCAAAAGCTGAAAAACAATTTGAAAAAGAAGGAAAACCATTTAATGTTATAACACAAAATGTTGATGGTTGGTCATTTGTATTGAGAGAAAATTTTTATTTCAAACAAAAAAGAAACTTTTCATTCAGGACTTCATTGAAGAGCAGGAACAACAGATTAGATGCGCTCCGATAATATTCCCGGAAACTCGATTAAGTGCTAGGGGACCAAACCTAGCAGATATAACAGACATAGAGATATACAGCATATAGGGGGCCTAGGAGGTCTAGGGAGTTATAGGGGATATAGGAGATATTTTTTTCTCTTTCATCTCTTAATTTTATTTAATTATAATTCAACTAAAATAAAATTTTCTTTCACAGATATTACTGATATCAATATTTATTTGTTGAATCTTGCTCGTTGCTTATCAATATTTATTTTTTGAGCCATGCTCGCTGTTTGTCAATCTCCTATAACTCCTGTACTCCCTAGACCCCCTATATGCTGTATATCTCTATATCTGTTATATTTGCTAGGTTTGGTTTCCTAGCACTTAATCGAGTTTCAGGGGATACCCTCGGAACGCATCTAATCGTTTGAAAAATTGTATCCACAAAAGGAAATATATTTTCGATTACCAATATTTGAAGCTTAGATGACAGAAGAATATCTATTAACTTACAGCTCCACGTGCTTGAATGAAGGGAGTGGGTTTGGGCAGAGGTCCTTTTTTTGCGACACCCATACCCACACTCTCGTAGCTGGTGGAAATGGCTCAGGTGATGGTCTCAATCAACTCAACCGGACGACATATCTCTTTGTTGATCGGCAGCAAAATGTCTACGTGCCAGACAAACCAAATCATCGTGTAATGAAATGGAATAAAGGTACAAAAGAAAGTATTGTTGTCGCTGGAGGACAAGACTACGGGAATGCTCTGGCACAATTGACTTATTCTAATGAACTCTTCGTTAATACGTTGGGTACACTCTATGTAGCAGACCAGGTGAATCATCATGTGATGCGTTGGACTCTGGGAGACAAGAAACAAGGCACTTTAATTGTAGATGGAGATCGTAAAGGAGAAGGAACAAATCAGTTCAGCAACCCCATTGGTTTGTCTTTCGATCGATATGGTAATCTCTATGTCGTCGATATGAGTAATCATCGTGTTCAACGATTTTCTATCGAAACAGACTTGTGAATTGTTTTTTCTTTGTTCGTTTCTTTTTCTATACTTCTACCACGTATTTTACAAAGCATAATTACTAACACTCCAACGGTAGAGTCATTGAAAGCTCTTTCTTGCATAATAACTTTCATTTCAAATATTTAACGATCACATTCATACCGTTTCAAATTGAAATGTCTGAAAAAAACTTCGCAGTCAATATCTTCCATTTGAAGTATTTGACAGTCCACTTCACTGATTTCTATCTAGAAAGATCACTGAAGATCTTTCTGGGGTCATACCAGTTGTTTGAGTTTTTTTTTCTAAGTCTCCTTTATTGTGTTTCAATCAGAAGGATCACTAAAGGTCTTCCCCATTCTGCCATTTCCATTTCAGATATTTGAAAGCCCGATTCATTGTATTGCTGCAAAAAGAATCATGAAAGATCCCTTTTGTTCAATACCCTTATTCCAGATATTTTGAAGCCTCCTTCCTCTCAGCCAATCATTAAAGACGCTTAAAGGTCTATCTCAGTCACTACCATCCAGTTGAGG